TCCAGAGTTCGGGGCTTGTTCGCGTATACTCTAGCCTTGAGGTGTTCCCATAAGAAAAAATCGTATATGGATAAATCTGGGGACCGAGGAGGTCAATGAACATCGCCAAACCTGGAAATAAGGCGACCAGGGAAGAGAGGACGAATAACGTCCATGGATGCTCGGGCTGTGGGCGGTCGCCCCATCCTGCTGGAACCACACACGTCGGATTGGAACACGTCGCCGTCGTAATTCAGGGAGAAATAAGTTGGTGATCATGTCGACGTAGCGCTCGCAGTTCACGGTAACATCACAACCATTACCGTCTTCGAAAAAGTAAGGGCCAATGACGCAAGTTTGCGATACAGCGCACCAAACCGTTACTTTTGGGCTGTGCAGCGGTCTTTCGTGTAACTGTTGCGGATTTTCATTAGCCCAATAACGACAATTTTGCTGGTTAACCATGCTGTTTATGTGAAAATGGGCTTCGTCACTCATAGGCGAAAACGCGGTGCTCCACCGTCCAAGGCTCCATAACGACAACTGGTAAAGTAATGCTAGGATCCCACGAGTCAAACGGCACCCTCCCCACCTCTCTCGTAGACGGAGGCGGAGAGTACTACCCATCCCAAAAACGTCCGTCCTCTCTGCCGCACCCTGTATAAACCTAAATGCACTAGGTGCAACATTATGATGTTGACAAAGCCTGAAGAACAATAAAGAATATGTTCCGAAAAATATGTGGACCTATATTATAAAGGGGCCCAGACTTTTAGTACCTGGATTATATTGAGAAAAGAAAATACCTGTCACTCGTTTTGTGACTATCAAACAGAAAACTGGTCACGTAACCTCCCGAAACGTTGTATGCGCCATAACATTTACTTTCTCGTAGAAAACACACCTTGAGCAACATACCAAAGTAACACCTTTTGAGAACAAATAAAAGACGAATATTTCCAACAGTTTATTATAATTTTTTGAAAACAACAATTATTTACATACATCAATCAAAAAGCTTTTTGATATAGAAAATAAAATTCACAGTTGCACAAATGGTTTTGTTTTTGATTTATTTGTGATCGACCATACTTATATCAATTTTGAAGTAAACATACGGATAATATTCAGTTTGACCCAATCCTAGCCCTGGTATATCCACAGTCTGTAAAAATATATGTCGTTAATTGTACTTTACTTTTTAAGTAGTCACTTGAAAACTATGTAGGAACCATTTCATCTGACTAAAAATCATTTGTTCGATAACAGGTCGTTCTGAAATCCTACTTTTTGCGAAACAGTCGTGGCAATTCCCCTCAAGTGTATCAAAAGTTAAAATATTTACCTATGGTTCGTTTGAACGTCACCAAATTGTGCCCAAAAACTACCTGTGTTTCTAAATTGCTGCTATTTGAACCAATTTTTTCAGGTGAAAACATTCTATAGAAAATTCACCCTGATGTACACTGTACTTTCAATATTAGATTTAAGGGACGACTTTTCCAAGCAAAGTTTCATCGACAAAATTTATAGCGTGTACAATGGTTTCCCAAACAAAATTAAAACATTGAATATTGTCAAATTCAAAAGCAGTGTCAAACGAACATTATTTAGCAAACAGAGCTGATTTCCATTGATTAACGTATTCTACTTGTAGTTACCCTAATGCTAGAGCACGCGTTCAATTATCATGAAATACCGTAGCACAGCGAGAATTTGTCACAGCTGTTTCTCTGTTTAATATACATACTTTGTAAAAGTGAGTTTATACCGAAGCAGTCGCGCAGGCAGAAGCCTAAATGCCGGGACACCGCTGCTGCTATGAAATTTTGTTAATCCAATTTTTGTGCCTAAAATTAATAGAACTGGGAAAAGCTTCCTCTTTTAGATTGCTCCACAATCTCGACACGCTCGTTACAAAGGAGCGGTCGTATCGGCTAGTTCTGGGCGTACGAAGTTCGACATGGTTAGAATGGGAGGCCAAAGTCAGTTGGGTCTGTCTGGCAGGCACATCGCGCGGCGGCATCATGGAAGAGAGCTTTGAGGAGCAAAGCCCGTTGGTGAAGCGGTAGAAGAGAGCTAGGTCTCCGACGGCCCGCCAGTGCGGTCCCGAGACTGTCTGTTAGAGAAGAATCATCGATCAGTCGGGACAGCCCTCCTCTGGACAGCATCGAGCATAAATAATGTAGTTGGGGCAGCAGCACCCCAGACATGTGAGCAATACTCGAACGTAGGACTTATCTGAGTATTGTTTAGCGTGAGAAAGTCATGCGGAGAAAAGTACTTCTTCGCCCAAAACAGATAGCCTAGCTTTTTCCCAGCAGCTTTCGTTATTGACGAGATGCGTTCGTGCCAGATCAAGTCCTCGGTGATCTGAACTCCGACCAGCCGAAATGAATTGCTCTTTGGCAGAACTCGGCCATCCATCGAAACTGGATGAGCGCTAGGACGCTTTTAGCTGGTCAAAGTATATGTCTTATAGATGGCGCTGTAGACACCTGTATGCTTCTATAAACTCATATAAACTAGACCGCGCCATCTATGAGATACTAACTTTTCCAAAGTTTATCTCAGATGATTTTTTGGACGTGAGAATGTAGCATTTGGTTCTGCTGTTCAGGTATAATACATTAATCAATATTGTTATATAGATAATGCAAGTCAGTATTTTTTTCGTGTATGTTATGTTATTATTCGAGTGTTTCTTTGGATTATGTGTTGTGTTGAATATAATATGATTTAACGCTCAAAAGGTCAAGTAGAAAAACACATGTGTGTCATTTCAGTGATACACAGCTGAACTTCGCTCTTCGTCAAACTCTTTTTCACAGAGTGGTATCTTTATTTGTTGTAATTGTTTGGCGAATAAAGACGTTTATTATTATTAAATTAATACGGAAATTCCTTTGAAAATATCAAGGATCACACAAATAACTACAAAGCTGCTTTCCAGTGCTTTTGCTTTGACAGATATATACGTTACAAGAATGTGAGGTTAATGTCCACGACGCTAGCACAATGGAACCGTACTGCCAGGTGCTGAGAACTACCACTATTCTACCTGAAGAAATATTCGCGCGTGTGAAAAATTATCCGAGATGTAATGACATGTCGAGCGTCATCTATGATAATTTGTCACAACTATGTTTCTCCTCTCCACAATAATTAGAAATCTACCTTGAAAAGTTTAGTATCTGATACATGGCGCTGTAATCAACTATATTTAAACGGTGCTATAAAAGATTTGCAATATGACTTAACAAACGGACGCAGGAGGCTGCATATTGAGACATGTACATGAGTGCATAGTAGCCGCCAGCAGCACGTCTGTTGATTTAGTTGTTCATTCGTATTGACAGTGTAAAGTCGCAGTCCAGATCTTTGTCTCTGCGGCTTTGCACTGTTTCCGCATATGAAAATGAAGCTGAAAGGAAAACGGTTTTCTAGCGATGAGGACCTTCTCAGGGCTTGGGACAACGAGTGTGCCGCACTCCCGGGTGAAACTTGGTAGAGCTGGTTAAGGACTGGTTTTGGCGGCTGGAGAAGTGTATTGAATGCGGTGGAATTTACTTTAAACGAAGTCAATAAAATAAAGCTATATTGCGAAACTTTTATACCACCCTTTGTATGAGCATATAGCTACAGACTTCAAGATGTCACTTGATGATCAGCTGCTTACCTCAGTAGACGAGCGTAGCGGATACTAGTGACAAATACTAGATGTGAACATAAGATTCAAAGCAAAAAAAATAGTAACATACCAACACTACATAGTAAACTCGCTTCAATATCTTGTGTGTTTGTCCTGCAGGATTTATCATCTGACAAAATATGTACAATGACACTTACTGCAAGCTAAAAGATATTTCAAAGTACCTAAATGGTTTGAACAAAGAATCGAACAAAGTGTATATCCGCATGTGTTATCGATTCTTTGGACCCTTTTTAAGGTTTATTAGGAACAAAGTGTAAAGGTGTCTTAGGGACCATTCAAGAATTACATAAGCACTAATGAGGGCGGGGGCCTTTACTTATTTTTGATAATAAATCAATATCCGTATGTTATTTATCGATTCTTTTTTTTTTTAATGTGTTTTAGGGACCGTTCAAGTATTAGATAAGCACTAAAGAGGACGGGGGTCTTTGCTCATTTTTGATGACATGGGGGATTTGAATGGCTATCACGTCAGCAATATTTATTCTTTTACTTTTTCGGGTTTCCTAAAAAATTTAGTCGCTTTTGTTTGAATACATACTATTTGTGTTTAATTCCTCTACCCTAAGCCTATTCCTTATTTCTATCTAGACTTGATAATTGCTGTTCATGAATCAATAAAGAAACCAGAACGGATCGAAAAATACATGTATTAATACTTATACAGGGTGACTTTGAAGTTGAGTCATTAATTTTCAGATAATGATTGTAGAAGGAAGATAAACCAAAATATGTGTGTAAAAATAAAAAAAAAAATGTTACCTTGTTTTATAAAGTATCCTCCCGACAAGTATTTCAGTGCGGACCTGTATTTGATCGTGCGGTCTTGGAGCACCGGCATGCCCTCCCCTGTGAGGTCTTAAGTCACCTGATTCACGAGCCCTTTGTACTACATTAACAAAGGCACGAGGGGTTGGTTGCACTCGATTGGGAAACCGATCCGCATAAATCCGTGATGCCGCGTAAATAAGAATCATGTCCACAAGGTCAGCATTTTCGTAAACATGTGCCATTTTTTATTTCGTTTGAGCCACGCAACAGATACCACTATTCACTCACGCGTTACCGACTGACACTGACTGTATACAACTGAATAAAATAATTGTAAAAACATCGTTCCAAATTCTTTCGCTTTATTGTTTCCGATGCGATGAACCGATAAGGCGGATTATATCCGTTGTTGCCAAACACGAGCACATAATATTATTATTGAGACAGGGCGGTACTCAAACTTCCAAAGGGCTATAACTTTGTTACTTTAATTTTACCAGAAAAATGGTAAAGGAAAAAACATTTCTTTTGATCAGATCTACTCACTGTTAAAATAAATGACTCAACTTCGAAGTCACCCTGTATAAGCATGGGAGGGGGATGAGAGATTTGCTGACAATGGGGAGGGAGGTTAATAATTGTAAAAAATTCTGCTTACATAGCACTTGACCCTTAACTGATCCGAAATTCGCTAAGACTTTGAACATTTTCACCCCAATAGTACACAATATTTCCAAAAAATGTGTCGTGGGCACAGATTGTTCTAACCTTCGACGCTTTTTGGTCGGAAGTGGCCGAGTTGATGTCCTTACTAATTTTATCAATTACTAATAGCAACAATTTAGTAACACTTGAGTGAAATAGAAATTTCACTTGACACACTTGATGAAGAGTAGCCTGTTTAGGATGACATGAAGCTATTTCAGGAAAAAAGAATTCATTGAATAGTTCTTTAATGCACTTCTATATACATCTCCATATATTTACAATAAAAGAATACTGTTTCAAACAGATTACCGAAAGTAAACATGGTACAGTATTATTGCAAAATATAATTACCTTTTTTCATATATGTATTGTCAAAATGTCAACAATGTGAAGCCTACTGTACACTAAATGTAAAAATAACATGTATATACACATTCAAACTTTTGAGAGGAATTAACATTCCAAAGAATGTTTCTAAATGTAATACTATTTTGTAACAAGTATAATACTTTTAAATAAATTGCAAATAAAATTTCAACATACATCATAATGGAACGAGCTTGTGCTTAAAGTTAAAAACTAAAAGTGGAATATATAACATTTTGGGGATCTTTAAACTTTCTCTATCATGTCCACGTTAATTTTGTAATAGACATAAGGGAAGTATTCTGATTGGCCGAATCCTAGTCCAGGAATGTCCACGTTCTGTAAAAGAAAATGTCATGATAGTGCATTTCTAGTTAACCTCAGTCCAAATACAATAGCTATGAAAGTATACTAAATGCTTGCTAGACCAATAGTGCGTTAGATGATAGCTACATGATGTGATGACTTTTAAAACTGTACATTTTTTTGCATGCGACGCATAGGTACATAATATATTTGATTTATCGAAGACGGCATTTATAAACATACTTTCCCGGTAGATAGCTGTGATTTTATTTTGCTGGCAGCTTAATTAAATTGAATTTTATATCAAATTACTCCTTGAAGTATGCTATTTTAATTGTGTCAAAAAACTTATAACGAAGAAAATCTGTAGTATGTGCAGTTTACGATAAATTTCTTATCCTCTATTTCAGAAAGGATTACTTGAATTTAATAAACTAAATAATGATATAAAGTCTACTGATAATTTAAAGATGTTCAAAAGAAAATTAAAGGAATATTTCATGGGAAGTGAAAATTCTTAGATATGCAAATTTTGTTTTATTTCAAAATTTCTGTATGTTATGTAATTGTTTAGTTTTTTGGAAGAATTTAATTGTAGCAATCATGCTAAATAAATCTTGAACAAACAAACAAAAAAACAACAACTGCCCTCTTCGATATTCACGGACATTTTCCAGTGGCGTAGATTAATTTCTTTTTCCTCCAGATAATCATGCCAATCAATTGCGTGATGTGTTTGGCGGCCACTAAAAACTCTGGATACAGTACTAAATGTAACAAATGCTTATTGCATCGTATGCAAATCTATCAATTGATGTCATAAAATACTTTGAGAAAGAACCAATCGCAGAAGGTTATATTTTGAAAGTAATTTAGCATGTCCTTCTACAGGTTGGTGCATCGCGTAACATGTCTAATAATCTGTTTGATAGGGTAATGAAGTGGCGATAAATCTGAGACACAAACTGCCATAATAGTGGAAGAACATAAATTAATGGAAAAGTTCGAGTCACGAATCGAGAAGCTTGAAGACGAAATTGATTTCAAGAAAGTGACAGTAAATCGACTTGAAGAAATGTCCATCAATGCCAATCTCAATAAGGGTGACACATTTGAGAAAGTACTGGAGGAAACCGCCGAGACGGGGAAAAGAAAAGATAATCTATTGATATTTGGTTTACCAGAAGCCAATATGAATCAAATGGAGCAACGTATAACATATGACAGGTCTCGAACAACTTAGTGTTAGGTGCCATAGAGGTCCCACGATTACCAGAAACTGTAAAGATTATTATTGGGCAAATGCAGACCTAACATTCAAAGACCAATTAAAATATGATTTGATGCCGTGCATGCCATCATACATGAAGCTAAAGCTCTAAAGAAAAGCGCAGAATACGGCAAAGTCTATATTGGCTACGATCGTACTCCTAATCAGATTGAGAACCCTAAGTTAAACGCCTATTTGAAGAAAGGAAAAAGAAACGGCGAATCCAGACGGATCATATACATTGGAGGACAACCAAAGATCATATAGTTATGACGTGACAGTGAGTGCAAACCAGTAGAAGCAGGACCTAGGAAAAAAAGAACACAGACTGAAAGTTGATAGTATCCATTCAGTCTCTTCAGATAGCTATCAATCAGTGAATTTTTCATCTCGTACTGAGTTTCGTGATGGCGGCATGTGAACTATTAAAAATATGCATTGAGTGTAGTGGAAAGCTTTTCGAGTATTGCTAAGTTTATTATGAAAAATATTACATATGTTTTGATTTGTACTTATAGATCTCCCACTGCGGACTTATATACTTTTTTGTTAAGCTTAGATATGGTATTAAATATAGTCTAAGCACCCAATAGTTATCTGATAGCTTGTGGTGACTTCAATATTGACTTTGCATGAGTTACTGAAACAGTTTTAGTTAAGAAGTGATTTTATAGATTTGGTAATGCTGAAAGATTTATTGAGTGCTTAAAGTGTGAAACTAGGGATGAGGTCCACTTTGCTGAGGGAAGTGAGGAGAAGTATCAAACTTTCCTCAGTATTAGTACACGTAGACTTTAACGGCCGGTGTCAATGCTCTCTGTTGCTTCTTTCGGGCTTAAAGGCCGTGTGATGGAGTTTACAGTTCCAAAGCTTTCGGCTACAACTGCGGTAGCCATCTACAGTGACACTGCAACCGAGGTCTAAGCGTTCGACTGTCGCCAACGAGCCACCGCGTCGAACGCTTAGATCTTAGAAGCAACAGGGAGCATTTCGACAATGTTTTACAGTATCATTTGAATATGTTATTTCCTGTACCTATAAGACAAGACATATCAAACACAAGGACTGCTGGGTTAACGAAGAAATTAAAATTACTTCAACTACATAAAATCTATATGTGTGGTATAAAATAACACTGTTGTTTAAAATCAGGACTAAACAAGAGAGACGCCGATACAACGAAGTATTTGTCGAACTAAAAAATAGCAATGAATGAGAAATTTTGAATTCTAAGATGCAAGGAATATTTTCAATAAACAAGAATAAAAAAACATAACCCCATAACCATAAAAACAGATAATGATAACATCAGTTCTCAGATATATTTTCAAAGAATTTTGATGATTCGACTTCCTCATGGCAACCTTGATATTGTGGGGATAACGGGAACAGTAAACGCCCCTTCAAAGTTTTTGTTGCCAGTTGATAAATGGGATATACAGAGCCCCCCAAACAAATTTTCTTCTGGCTTAGATGATATTCCTGTTGCAATTCTAAAGAAGTGGCCGAGTCAGCCTCCCACCCCTTTTCTCTTATAACTAATGTATGCTTTTCATCTCTAAAGAAATCGAAGGCTGTGTCTAGCATCAAAAACAAGGGTAACTTGCAGGCTGTCCCAAACTATCAACTTATCTCGTAGATGTGTGTCAAAGTTCTTTGAGCGGGCACTGTATAGGTTAACAAATTTCTTCATTAAATACAATTTGCTAAAAAGGCATCAATATTGTTACTTTTATGTTGAGAATGTAGACAAGTACAAAAAAGTTGCAGTCCTTTTTTTCGATTTGTCAAGGGCTTTTGACACGGTCTATCATGAAATTTTACTAAAAATTCTCGGTAAATATGGTATCGAAGGCAAACCTGCTCAGATTATTGGTTCCTATCTGGATAGTAGAGAACAAGTAGTATGTACGTCATGATGGAGGTAAATACTGCTCAACCTCAACGCATGTTCCGCAAGGTGATCCACAGGGATCCGCTTTGGGACCCCTGTTGTTTTTACTGTATGTGAAGGGACTCTCTCTGAGAGATTTATTGCTGGCTTGACCTGTCAGTGTCAAAGTACATCTGTTGTGCTCTTGGAATTGAGCTTGGCAGGTTTTTCAGAAGTCTGTTTACATGCAGTAATCAGCATGTTGGACTGGTGCAAGAACTACTTGTTGAGGTTGAAAACTGCTCTAGTTACATTAAGACAATCTGCAAATAAAGAGTCAGTATTGATTTGATGCTTCGATACCAGAGATCGACTGTGTGAGAATTCTTGGCGTTCATTTAGACTCTACATTGAACTTGGACTAGCAAACTTCATCACTGTCATCAAAATAGCAAGCATTTGTGCTTTAATACGTCGTCTTCGTGATGGAACTTCAGTTGCAACACTTCGTCAATTTTACTTTGCATCAGTTCAATCTTCGTTTGCATTAGGGTTATGTTTTGGGGTTCTTCAAGGGTTTCTTATCAGTTTTCATAGCTCAGAAACATATAATTAAATGAATGCTGTGGCTGCATCCTCAGGCAGCATGTAGAGATTTTTTTAAGAAGTTGTGGTTTTTAACTGCACCATCTTCATAAAACCTGTCACTTGTGTTTTTTCAGAAACATTCAAACTTATTTAACTGCAACTATCATCACCAGGCAGATAATATGACCATTGAAACTACGGGAAGACGGAGCTTAAACATTCCTCCCCTTGCCTCCACAATTTCAAGGGCCCATTATAAATATAATATAACATGCTACCAGGCAACATTTCAAGTGCAACCAATTATTTTATTAAAAGAAAAACTGTAAAGTCTCTCTTAAGGACATGCTTGTACGATTTTAATTATGATTTTAATATGCCATTTCATGATGATCTGATATGCTTTGTCTTAGATCTCAATTCTATTTTAATCTCAATTTATTATAACATACTGTTCCGCCACCTCCGCGGGCATGTAAGTTTTGCCATTGCTATGTCTTTGTTATGAAGATGCGTATTTAGGTAATTAACAAAATGCTGCTTATAAAGTTTCGGATGCGTAGATTTGGGTTGCCTATTATTACGCACGCACATCCTCTTCCCTTACTCCACTTGCCTGGATTGATTTTTGTATGTGCAGACTGGTAGTATTAGTAAAGTGGGATATTTTACTTAAAAAATGGAGTACAAGAGGCTCCGAGACAAATTTAACAATAGCAAAGCAACCTGTTTACATTTTGACAACACATGTATAACTATATTACGCAATAAACGTCAGCTAACAAGTGCTAAAAGTACACATGCATAAAAAGTATATGGAATAAACACCAAGAAAAATCCATATTGACAACACTGGCAGCATTATTCTTAAAGAGGGATGATAAATACCAGGCCACGAAGCGATTAGCACAGTGTTGCCATTTCGTATCACGGTGAATTTTGATTAGTGGCATACTTGTGTCTGTTTACGGATTTATATCGACTGTCGTAAAAAACTATACAACTAAGAAGGCGGTTTTTGAAGCGGCACCTGCTAGTTTGTGGATGTGTGGGGCGCGGGTAGGAGGGTATAAAGGTTCGAGTCGCTTAACTCATAGCACAGTCAAATTATGTAAATTTGTTAAGCCCATATCGAAACAATGCGGTCTATTTTAGATTCGCTACATTAAAAGAATATATATTCGTAGCTATTAGTGCTTTTTATATTATTTCATATTGCTCAAATACATATGTCGTGGCCATATCGTAAAATTGAGCATTTCATAATATATCGTTATTCATTGTCTAGATCATGATCTGGGTGGTCCATATCAATGATAACAAATAGTTTAACGATATGATCAACTAAATGCGCGGCTACTACATGAGATGGTCAAGCATGTTTGATGAAATCGAAAAAAATTACATTAATAACCACTGGGAGCGCTTTGTTTACATTTCAACAACAAGAACACAGTTTTTCGAAGTATAAATTCTAATAATCCGTTACAAAATGAGGAAGGAAGTGAGATTAAAAGATTTTAGGACTGAAAGACACCCGAGGATCGCCGCGATATCCCGCGCCGAGTACTATGCGGGTAACGCAAATACCGTTCAAAAAGTCAGAAAGCTGCGGACTTCAGGTTAGTAACATACTTACATTATCATTCACTTATTCGAAATCAAAATCCTATGCTGCTTAACTATTGTGTTTATTAAACTACTAGATTATTTTACGTATGTAAAACTAATTTTTGCAAGTAGGGTGTCCACGCGAGGTAATATCTCAATTTGTGATATCTGATATGTTCAAAAATTTCATTTATGACACGTTGTGCAATTTGATATTATGTTAATATAATTACTATATTTTAATTTCCTAAAGGTGGATTTCACAGTTTAACAAACCATTATTCTGCACCAATAGGGTACGAGTACCAAACAGTCCGTTAAATATACCCAATCGCCTCAAGATCTCTCCGTCAAATTTTTGACAGCAAATAGCATCAAAGTATTCAAAACAAAACACTGTAAAATATGAAGTGACAGCTTGCCATTGAAATCTTTTCAGTTTATTAAATATTATGAAATTATGTAAAACTGAGCCAACATTTTTAAAAATGCTTGATGTCTGAGTAAAATCTATTTTTTCAGATTAGCTGAAGGTTTTTCCATGTTTACTGCAGCTTTTGTAATCCATATGTGATTATATCACCTACTGTGTGCTTATAGTTTATCCTATATTTGCAAACTTGCACTTCCAAACCCTTACATGAAAAAGCCTTTTCACTCAAATTTTTGTTAGGTGTTGCATTTCAACACATTCATACACTTCTTTCCGGTTCCTCAACGATATTTTAAACCCACTGGTCCGAAACTGTTCAACAGTTTCAACATTCATACATACAATTGCAGTTGCAGTTTTTTGTTTTAATTTCAGTGTATAATCAGTCAGTCGCATCATCGGTGATGGTACATTCAACATAACCACGTATTTAGGGGTTCGTGCAGATTTAACGTATATACGACTTCATCATTAGGCGCTCCTCTGGCGATGTCCGATTGCGTTCAGGTGCCTTCTGCAGGTACCTCTTCACCACGGTCTGGAGTTGATACCAGCGCGGCTCTCGTTTTTTTTGCTCTAGGCATGGCCATCCTCAATTAATCGCACAAAAGACAAGTCCAAGGCAGAAAAACACACCCGAAGACGAACGCCAAAACAAATCTCTACCGCAAATTCGTCAACAACTCAAACAAAAACAACAGATGATTCACCGCCTGGCTTTGACCGTAAATCGTCGTGGAACACGAGACACCACAGAATTATTATAATTACGTCAATACGAGCATAGAACAGTATAGAAAGGGCTATCCAAGGATAAGACGAGTTCCGAAACCTCCCGAATCATGTCAAAAAATGGCTGTGACGTCACCAAAACGTTTGACCACCACTAGAAATCACTATCTAGTTACCATCTGGCGGTGTAACATGTGGAGGACACTGGTGTAGAAACAGCGGATCCTTAAATTCGGTTACGTTGAGTCGTGCATGAGCCCGACATTATTTTTCAGTAATTACTAATAATTTTAGGTCTATGTCTACAGTAATTGCATTATGCACCTCGGAGATGTAGGGATTAACATGTTTTACACATATCGGTGTTTTAGGATGGGGACGACATACTGTTTTGATTGCTTTGAAGAAATTCATTAACCCATGAATTTATAACAAATGATTACTATTATGATGTAAAGAGAGATGAGGAATTGGTTGGAATACATTTTATATTCTATTTTCTTGCAAATCCGCACAATTCAACAGGTATGTGTAGCTATAATGATCTCATAATATACACACAGTATATTGAACTTAACAAATTTCGAGACTGCCATGAATTAACAAACGACCAAACCTGCTGCCAAATTTAACAGCTAGAAAATCGACCTATTATTTCTCCCATTCCCATTCGCTGAGGGGATAACGGATGGTCAAATGTACACCTATAACATAAATCAAAATACATGAAAGTTGTCCTGTTTTCTCTGTACAAAAGCATCATGTTGGAATCAAAAAGTGGTCTTGTTTATAATACAGTCGAATTTTCACGATTTTATTCAACATTTTAATAGAAATCACTGATATTCTGAGACCTTTGACAGCTTCCGTCAAATTGCATTTCGATAAGGTATTTTCCTATTGGTCCATAATAATAATGTTGGTGAAATCGGCAATAAAGTTACTAAAAAAAACAAAAATGTTTAAAAATGTAACATATTCTGGATTTTGATTAAGTATTCTATCGACACTCTATTTTACGATATGAATCGTAGTTGACCAAATCGTTAACCCTTAATTACTCGCATGAAGAACATTACATAACTGCTCGCATGGGGTCACAGGTGACCCCAAGTTGTAGGATTTTTTTTTAATATATATTAAATATAAAATGAAATCAAACTATTTTATTATTAAAGTGCTTTATTTATATTATGATATTTAAGAGAAATAACATGAATTACTATCTAATGAAAAAAATTGAACTTATATAAAATAATAGGTGAAAATTAACAATTTGTACTTATATCAAGAGATCAAGGCAAATTTTTATGATTATGTTAGGAACTATCCGAATCACTTTTCTTGCACTGTTGACAGTATATGTCTGAGTGATCATTGCACACAAATTTTATGCACTTTTTGCATTTAGTCAATACTTTTCGATCACTTTTCCGCGGGCAGTTGTTGCAACGCCCACGTTTTGCAGTGGTTGGTGGGGTGCGGTTGTCCAAGTCATGAACTTCTATAAGTCGTTTCTTTATTACTTTAGGAGTTGAATGGACTTCAAGCCGACGTTTCTGGTGATTATGGACAAGTTCAACGGACAATTGCCGCAAAAAATTACGCCTCATGTGAGTACGTGATTTAGTGGTATTTGCCCGATGTACAACGAGAGCATTTATGCATGCAACGTTTATAAGATGGAAGAAAATAGCTAACGGCGATCGTTTGGTACGCCTTCCTGCGCTGTATGTACCACACAAATGATCATTGGTGTCCACTCCTTCTTTAGTCCTGTTCCTGTTGTAATACATAGTTATTCCAGGCTTCTGCTGATCACCTGAACCTGGGCCGATGTGAGCTCCATGATGCATGGAGGATAACAACACAACAGCTTGATTTGGTTTTGGCACATTTGAAACCATGGTTAGAGTCTTTTGAAATCCGAACAGACAGCTGAATTGACTTCTGTCTGGTAAAATCTCCTCAGGTATATCGGGTTTGTTTTTCTTCAGTGTTCCAACGAAATATCTCTACACCGGTTCCGTCGGTGGCCCAGAGATCTATGAAATTGAGATGTGAAGCTCTCAACACTCCAGACATGATCAACAAACCCAGCAATGCTTTTATTTCTTCAACGTCTGTATCTTTTGCGTCACGTTCCCTTTGAAACTTGCCTCTGACGACTTCGATGTACTGATTTGTACATTTTACCAGCAAATTGATAATGTCATCAGAATAAAACAAACTAAAACATTCCAAAGCAGTCTTTGCGGATTTCGCTGACGACTTGACACCGGGTAAGTGTAAAGTTATATTATGTCTTCGTGTTCTTGTGGAGCTTGTTGGTGGAGACTTTGACCATTTTTGTTTAGGACCGTTTCTGCCATTATGTCTGGTAAAATAGAATTTATCATACTGCCCTGCACAGCCGTCGTCCTCGTTGTCTGAAGACTCACTGGAGTGTGCGAACAATTCGTCGATTTCACTAGCACTATTATATCGCTTTGTGTTATCTCTTCTAACTCCGACTCAGAATTTGACCCTCCAACTTGTTCTTCATCAGAAGCCTCAACCAACCAGTTCTCAATTTGTTCTCTTCTATCCATGACGAATTCTGGAAACAGATACAAAACTCATAGAAAAACGTAATTTTTCGGTACTTTCATTTTATAAAACTACACAAAACATATTTATTAAATAAATTTATAAACTGGACATTCAATAATACAAATCGGATCAATAAAACACAAAAAAATACATAAAATAAGCAACTTACCTTTTTCAAAAAAGTAACGTAATTAGTCGCACGGGGTCACTGCTCAAAAGCGCAACGACGTGTCCTTAGACTCCTGTGACATCGTCGCTACTAAAACACAAACGGAAGACGCGCGGTCTCAAGCTAGCGGGGGCGCGGGGAAATTCGGTCCGCGGGAAATCCTTCGTTTTTGAATGCGAAACTGCTTTGACCCCATGCGAGTAATTAAGGGTTAAACGTTGACGATTTGACGATCTGGTCAAATTTAGTTGGCCATTTCATGAAATGCTCGATTATTTGATGAAATGGTCAATTATACGATATGGCCGAGACATGTACATTATGCAGATGCACCAGTTTTCATCATTATTTAAAACTGTATCATATAATGACCATACTATAAGCGAGTTGGTACTATAAATGTAAACAGACACTATAAGTATGTCGCTAACCTCACCAGGCCATAAAGCGATTAGCACAGTGTAGCCATTTCATATCGTGGACAAACAAGCAAAATAACATAGTTTATCAAAAGCAGGAGAAAGAATGTAGTACTGAAAAATATTTGTAAAAAGGAAGTAATGTTTATGTATTAGTTGAAAGCAACTAGCTACACTAAAAGATGCATACTAGCAAATTGATCTTGTTAAGCTGAAGGCACGATTCATTTAAGAATATAAGTATGTTTCATACTCGCACTTACATCAAGATTTGAACCTGATAAAGCTGCACTACTGTCCAGATGACCATAAAGCTGGTTCAAGACGTCCCTCAGACGCTTGATGTATTTCTTGTTCGGATGGAGCAGTATTGCTTGGAAATTGACAGGAAGTCCGTATCTGCAAGAACGAACAACATACAAAACTTGACGTAATAGTTCCAAGGATTTATAAAACCACAATTCTAGCAGCAACACGAGGCTGCAGCTCACCTTAACACTGATTCTACAAAGACTCGCAGTGCTTTAACGTGGATCCAAGCACAGAAACATTCACTGAAGTTGACTTTCAACCATCTTACAAGGGGTCCCTGCAAAAACGATAAATTTTAGGTTAGATCGTTTAAGCTACGCGTCTACAGATCCGCATCGAATGCGTGTAACTGCTCTCACTAAACTGATTTTAGAATTATTTGCAAGTTATTAAGTACTAGTACGTTCACAGTTCAGTACCGGATAGACCAGAAGATGCAACTATCCTTGTATGTGGATATCATTCTAAAACAACATAAATATATCATAGTAGTTACAATAAACTTGTCGGACTAAAAAAATCTATATAACATAAATGTAATATGTTCATTAATTTTGTATCGTAGATTAGCAATGAAGGAAAGATATTTATATGTTAGTTTTTTATAAATTACATCATGTTTATATAAGTATTCAATAGCCACTCGTATAAATCTAATTTTAATAATGGTATTCTGTTTTTTTCTAATATATTCTGGTAAGTTATGATATAAATTTGGACCTAGGTATATAGAGGATTTCAGCATTATTTCTTTTTTTGGCAATAATTATTTCTTTACTTTCATTTCTACTATCATATTCATAATTTTTAAAAATGGTCGAATGTTTGTTTTTATGAAATTTTAGCATAATTATACCAAAATAATTATTTTGTATCTAAAAGTTTTGATTCTATAAACAGCGATTTGGAGGGATATAGTAAAGGTTGTTATGAATTGTTTTTTGAATAGTTTTTGTATAATTTGTAAAGAATTTAGATGGTTATTATTCGTGGATCCCCAGATAATAATTACGTACGTTATGAGGCATTCAACTAACGTTTGGTATAAAATGTTTAATTGAGTTTCATTGAAAATTTGTCTGTGGTATCTGAATTTATATAACAGAAACCTAGGTTTTAGCTTTTAGTTTAGTTTACGTGACATATATTCATTTTGGCGATTTGTTTTCTTTATATTTAGCTGATTATATAGCAGTAATTTATTTATGTAAGACGTGAAGGGAATAAAGTAGGTTTTTTATAATAGTTATTTATATATATATATATATATATATATAGTTTGATATATGTATTCAATCTTTTCCAATTTCTTCTTTTAATGTTGTCCATCAGTAATTGAACGCGCTAAGTTAATCCGTTTGGTGCGAACAGTCCAATACATGATGCGGGTCTGTGGATGCGTACCTTTAGCGTTAATTTCATCAATACGGAAATGCAACCGATAAATCGTCGCCTTAAAGCAAAAGTAGCTTATGTTCAAAGTTTTTTTAATATGCCCAAAAAGGAATATATTTCGTTCAAAATCTGCATCTGCCTACGTCTCTTGTTGAAGAAAAATGGTGGGCAAGAAAATGTTTATTGTATCTAGTGCATCCTAAACCACTGTTCTCACCAAAAGCAACGCAACAACAACTCTACAACAAACAACAAGTTTCAAACAAAAGTTACAGGGTTTCGATGGAGCAAAGTGATGGTGACTTTGGCCACGATCTTCAAGGTCAGGTCGAGGTCAAGTGAATATTTTCAAACGGAACGCCCCTTTTTAACACTGGAATTAAGAAGAGGAGGAAATTTTTCGTCAGAGTATGACTTTGACCATGACTATGAACTGCCAAATCAAGACGTTGAAAACAGTCTGCTCTAGCGAAATGTTCGACAGCACAAATGTGAGGATCACCCAAAGGTGACCTTGAACGTGACCTTCAAGGTCAAGTAAAAATTTCACACGTCTTGATATAAATCTTTTGGTCTTTGCAATTTTGGTATAAAGATGAGGGATCTTATTTGGAGATATTGACCTGAGATCAAGCTCTTTGGGTGACTCCCACAAACCTCACATCTGCGATGTCAAAAATATTTTTGTTTCAGCAAATTGTTATTATGTCCTTGAAATGGCCTTGAGGCATATTCGGACGTAAAATTTACTCCTCTTTTCAAATACGGTATAAAAGTGGAATTCCTTTAGAAAATATTCACTTGACCTTAAAGTGAACTTGAAGGTAGTGGTGCCTCCTTGAAAACCTATAGCATTTGGTTGAACCTTCATTAGGAAGCATAGTAACCATTTAGATGGGGCGATGAACATGGAACACCCCGAATAAGAAATATAATGTGCTATGAGTGATCTGCGGAAAGCAGCACATTGTACGCTAACGTATTTCTTACCCCCATGCTTGTCTGGTCAATAAAACCATGTTTTGTCAGAATTCTTCTTTACTGTAAGCAAATCACATAGGTAATCTTCAGCATAATAACAATATACAAAGGGTACTATAAAAGTTTTGCAATATGACGTAACAAACCTACAAAGGAGGCTGTATGTTACTGCATGTTGAGACATGTCCATGAATGCATGGTAGCCGCCAGCAGCCCGTCTGTTAATTTAGTTGTTCATTCGTATTGACAGTGTAAATTGCGGACTATGCCATCGTGCTCACGTAGAGAGATAAGGGCAGTTATAAGGTATATCTTTACGCATATTTTATGCTTAGAACAGTGTTTAGAAGAAACGACGCATGCGTTAAAGAATGATTGTCCTCATCGTACGGGGCTTGGAACAACGAGTGTGCCGCACTTCCGGGTGAAACTTGGCAGAGCTGGTTTAAGGACTCATTTTGGCAGATGGAGAAGTGCATTGATTGTGGTGGAAATTACTTTGAACGAAGTAATTAAATAAAGCTCTATTGCAAAACTTTTATAGTACCCTTTTTATGTTATTTATCTTCCAGGTGATAGTTCGTTTGTTTTTTCTTTATCACGTTCCTATACAGTGTGTTACTACAATGTTTTGAAAGTCCCGTAACATGCTCATTCCGAATTTTAATAAAAAAAACAGGATTTGTCGAACTATCCAAACTACGCCTCTGTCTCGGAACTGACTTTCTCGTTTGAGCCATTTCTTCATGTTAGGAAACAAGAAAAAGTCTCAGGGGGGCAGATTGGGTGAATAGGGGGGGGGGGGGTGTGGCAGCACTTCGTAACGCAATTCATGCAGTTTGGCGGCAACAACTCCGGATGAATGTGCTGGTGCGATATCCTGGTGAAACAGCACCTTCTTTTCCGCCAAATGTGGCCGTGTCTCCTTCGATTTTTTTGTCGAGGCGGTCCAACAACTCACTGTAGTTCTGTCCAGGGATCGTTCTTCCTTTTTCTAAAAAATCCATGAGGATGACGCCGTTTGCATCCCAAACAATCGTCACCATGACCTTTCCAGCCGATGGGACCGTACATTGTTTTGATTGTTGCTTAGTTTCTAGTGTGTGAATCCAGGTGTCATAAACGATGACAACTAGACGCAAAAACTGCTGCGGATTTCGCTTATCCACCAAACACTGCTTCAAAGTTAACAGCGGCATCCGCTTGTTGTCCACCGTGAGCAATCGCGGCACCCATCGGGCCGACAATTTTTTCATCTCCAACTTATCATGTAAAATATTTATTGCCGTTTCGGTCGACACATCTACAGCCTCTGCTACTTCGTGCACTTTCGTTCGTCGATCAGCGAGAATCATGTCGTGGACTTTTTGAATGATTTCCTCGGTACCCACGTCTGGCCGGGCGTCCTGGTCACTCCATATCAAAAACGGATGTTCCATCACGTTAAAATTCGTTGAACCCATACCTAACTGTGGTCAGAGATGGCGAAATGTCCCCATAAACAGCATCTAACTTAACTTTTATCTCCTCGCATTTTTTCCCATCCAAAAACAAAAAGCGAATTACCGGACGATACTGCTCTTTTTCCATCTTAGCGAAAATCACGAAACACGTGATACTCGAATGGCTGCCAAGTCCAAACTAACCTATCAATCAGTTTGAAATTTGTTGTGCCGTCGTTTGATAGATGGCAGCACACGATGATAACACCAACTTCCCTCAGGAACGCCCTCTGTCGTCAAACACGGGTACTTATTGAACAAACCTCATACAAAGAAGCTTAACAAGTTCTAGCCGTATTTATAACATGAAAATAATTTGATTGAATACAGTCTCATTCGTTACTAATACAAAATCGCCATCATTTCTTTCAACACAGATTACTTTTGCTTTAGGTGAGACATATCGTTTGCTGTAGGAAACATGAAAAGATGAAAAATGTAGTTTGTTGGGCTGCATTAGAACATTGAAATAACTTACAAATTGCTTCTTCTTATCAGTAACCAGCTTAGTGATCTCGTTCTTGCCAGCGGCCAATTCTTCCTCATTATATACGAAATCCCTTACGATGAACTTCTTTTCCCTGGCATGTAACTTGAACTCTTCCACGACCTTTTTGAACAAAGTGACGGTGAACAGGCCGTACTCATTGTCTTGTGTGATCAGTTGAGAGGAGCGAGGCACTATCATGTCGGTTATTTTCTCATATGTTGCATTCCACTCGTTGAACTGAGATCTAAATTACATCAAAAATACGTCAAGTATGGTAACACGCGTCGCTGTCACCAGTCTTAAGAGAAAAGTCAGGATAAAAAACAAATGGATCAAGTAAGTAAAACATGACCATAAAGTCGTCACCTATTTGACAACGTTACAATCTAAAAATGTCTTTCGTGTCCTAACGATAATACCGATCACCTAGCAGAGTTAGTACGACTATCTTCGCCACTCGACAGCAACAGCAACCACCCATTGGGCCACTCCGCGATACTCCTATATCCAGAGAATCGTGTGTTGAAAATATTTCTATCATTCTACAGGGACCGTCAGAAAGAACGCATGTTTTTCGAATGCGTACTACATCGAGTGGGCTGGTCCCGTGTCGGTGGGGAAGGGCGTGTTGAATAGTGGGAGAAGTGCCGTTTCAATAGGCAAGATGGTTTGGAGCGTTGAGCATCGTGTATTCACTTTCGTGTTCCACATCGTGGGACACCACCAGACCGTAACACCATTTTGAGATGGTTGGAAGCATTCAACACAACAGGTAATGTGATGAAGAAAAAACCACCACGGCGAAACCGTAATGTTAGAGGCCCCTAAAACGTAGACAGAGTGAGAGTTGACACGCTGCAAAGCCCGAATCGTTCCATCCGTTTGCGTGCCAGTTCCCTAGCGATCCACGCGTCCTCTGTACATTGCATCTTGAAGAAGGATTTAGTGTTCCATTATGCACAACGTGTTAATTTTGCACAGCTCATGATTGAACAGTTGGATAACAATAACATGACGTTGTTTATGAGTGTTGAAGCACATTTTCATTTACATGGATACGTCAATAAACAAAATTATCGATATTGATTTCCAGTGAACCCCCAACAGTTGCATGAGCAGCCCCTGCATACCACAAAAGTTACAGTTTGGTGTGCAGTCGGCCCAACGATGATCATTGGCCCTTATTTGTTTGAGAATGATGGAGAAACAACTACTGTGAATTCAAAGCGTAACATCCACATGCTGAACAACTTTTTTTTTCAGGAACTTCGACTACGACGTGTCCGTCTCAGAACAGTGTGGTTCCAACAAGACGGGGCAACATCTCACACAGCTCGCACTTCGATGGAATTTCATCGGCAAAAATTCCCAGAACGTCTCATGTCACATCATGGCGAAATTCCATGGCCCCCTCGCTCCCCGGACCTGCCAACGTGTGATTTTTTTTATGGGGCTAGCTGAAATCAAAAGTTTACCCAAGCAAGCCTCGGACCCTGGTCGATTTGAAGGAGGAAATAAGAAGAGAAGTAACCCAAGTTCCTGTACGGATGCTGGCCGACGCAATGGGCTCATTTAGAACGTAAATTTTGTTTTACTCAAAAAAATGGCATGTATTTCTGAGTATTTTGATATAATAGAATATTTTTCCCATACTTATTTTGAATGTATTGCTCATTTAAAAAACATGCGTTCTTTCTGACGGACCCTGTATCATTCTAAGTTTTAAAGTAAATCTAGGGGAAAATCTATGATGTGTAAAATACCTGCATGTCTAATAGATGCGTATCGTAAAACTATCGGTGTTGGTAGCATATAAATACACTAACAGCAAAAAAAATGAGATATACCCTCCCCACTCCCTACAATCCCCAACCTGCAATTCTTAACTCAAAAGTACAGCCCACCGAATTTCGCGGAAATAACGAGATCCACCCGCAGGGTTATTACGTAAAAAACCTATATAAAGTCAAAAAACCGATAAAATGTCATCTTGTTGACTAGGTAGGCTAGTGTGCAAATAGTTCTTTCCGTGCTTGCTACAAGTGAGCATCAGGTGAACGGCAGCTATCGTTGAGGTCTTGTAGGAAAACCTACATAATGTCATAAAAAACGTAATTGCAAATAAAACCGACATAATGGCACTTTTAGAGTTACATAATACCCCTGTCGTACCACGCGATTATCTTCTAGGAGTTGAGTTTTGTCAAACAATGTTATAGAGACACCGGAAAAATCCGCGATTTTTAGAAAAAAATTCTTTAGACTGATGGGTCGACATTTGAAAAAAAATGGTTACATGGATTTACACAACTCGCAAGTCGCATGTAGAAACGCCACATTTGATGAGACAAAATAGAACACAGTATCGTTTTAAAGTTAACATCAAGATCGGAATTCTAAATGGGAAAATCACTGTACCCTTTGAGCTGCCGAGTTCTTGAATGACGAAATTTAATTAGACTTTTTACAAAATCATTTAACAAATTTATTGGAAGGCGTGCTACTAAGCATTTAAAGATACATGTGGTACCAGCAGAAGGTCTGGTATAATTTCATGGCCGGCCCGTTCACCTGACTTACATCCACTCGATTTTTTTCTAAGGAACGGTTAAAGAAAAAGTTTACTGAAAACTAATCGAAGATATAGCTGAGCTACGGGACTGAATAACGGAAGCAGCTGAATTTGTTAATAAAGGAAGATTCGCCCGTCTGACAATCCGATTATTTTCAAAAAGATGTCAAGCTTGCATTGTTGCTGAAGGAAGGCTGTTTGAACATTTATTGTGAATTTAATCTAATACATTCATGAATTAATAAATATGGCATTACTATCTGTCTTTCTGTGTCTACGTAAAATGACAATGTCTGTCACTCCATTTAAAGAAAAATTGAAATTTGTAATGGGGACTAACAGATCATCTCAGGGTGTAGAATCTTCCGATTTTTTAAAGCCCATAATTTGACATGACAGATTTTTTTATATTTTTCTGGTAACTATTATGTCTTGGGTTCCGGCTAGACGTCGACTGGTGGGACACCCTCTACAAGGGTAATTATTCGCGATTCAGGCAGACAAAAAACAGTACCTTATCTTCCCCATCAATATGGAGTATCCATGTGATTCAAATATCGGTTTTTTATTTTTATTTACACTCTATATTACTTAAGAAATCCAGCTCCAACCTTATTTTATACTTATGCGCTATAAAATTACGAGTATTAATATAAGTGGGAAATATACGCGAGTTTAAAATATAGTGGAGAATACTGGAAGAGTACTGGTTGAAGCGGAATCCTCCACTTCTTTAAATGGCAAGTGGAAAAAAATACTCGTTGAAATATAAGATAAGTAAGAATTAATCATATTTGGGTATAATGGTAGTTCCGTGTTCTGTACTTACATTAAAATGATCTTCACGACAATATGAAGTATGTTTTGAAATTTTAAAGTTATATCATCCCTTTTCATAATTATACACAATGGCAGGTGGAAAAAAATACTCTTTGTAATATAATGTAAGTAAGAATTATTCATATTTGGGTATAATGGTAGTTCCGTGTTCTGTACTTATATTAAAATGATCTTCAAGACAATATGAAGTACGTTTTGAGATTTTAAAGTTATATTATCCCTTTTCATAATTCAACATGACTTTTATCCTAGCATGTCGGGGAATATAAAAAATATCGGCTGTTTTCCGTTTCGTACTTTTATGCACTGCCTCACAACAGTACTTATCATAAGGTTTGCATTAACCATGCTCTTTTTTTTAATTGAAACCAGAGGATATAAAATAGAACCTTTTAAAACTTGAAAGCAAATCAACCAAACATAGAATGAAATGACAAACAATGAGTTATGACGTCACTCCAAAGCGCGCGAAAAATGACGTTTACGGTATTATATTAATGTAAATAATCGACAGATAAGACCAAAAAATGCATACTCCCTATTAGCGTGGGAAGTAAAAATGATTTAGATAAAGGTGGAAGAGACGCCCAGCAAAAAATTTCATACCTACCTAGGGACGATCACCAACAAAGTTTGTAGATATTCTGAATCAAGAATAAAATGGTCTTTTTTCACAAGATCAGCCAAATTACGAGTCAATAAGCTTCCCCTGAAAAAAAATCAACAATAGAATTGAATATTTATAATACCGACACAATTTGTATGGAAAAGGTACGAATCCCATTCCATAAAGATATCAGACTAGGCAATTACTCAATAAAAAATAAATAAGATAATATACTGGATCAAGAAATGGACGGGGAAGTTCTAGATTATCAATCCTTGGCTTATTCTCATCTAGAATCTCTAGAATCTCATCGAGCAAGTTCGCCAAATAGAGTAAGCAAAGATTCCCGCTCGCACTGTGAACAAAGTTGGATCGCGTAATTTCTGACAATATAAAACAATATTTTAACAAAACTTCATTCAATTTTTTTCTGCACTCAAAATTATTTCAATTTTATTTTCAACAATGCTGCTGTATTTTTCACGAGTATCCATTACGGTAGAATAACAGTTGATTATATAGTAATATTTCACAATTCCCCATATCGACAAGTGACACAATTCTGACGGATTCGTCAGCGTCAGGTAGACACAGCCATATGTTGTGGTGGTTTTTTGTACGCTACGGATTCATTTTGTACTTGCTAACAACTCTTTTATTTAGAAAAGGTACGTCGCACACAAAAAACACCACACGCAAAATGGCTGCTAATGATCATGACTACATTTCAAGTCTGGTAGGAATAAAATGAGATAATTGGTCTTTGACTATGTTAATCATGTCTGCTTTTTAAAACTTGAAACAACATATGATTTTGAAGGGTAATGAAACGGGCATACAATTAATTCAAAATATGTGCCAGTATATGAATGAATTAAGTGCCGTATTGTCAGTCGTTCCTACAATTTTAGGACGCCTTTATGGCCTCCTTGATGTTCATAGTATTTTCTCTGCATCAGAAAAGCTGGAGTATTTCTAGATTTCCACTGTTCCGTGTCAGGGTCAGCGCTCTCTTAATTATATTTTCTTTTTTAATTGTAGGAAAATTCAGGCTAATAAAACATGATAAAAATCAAAAGCATGAACAATTTGATGCAAAGATATTTGTAACATAACCTCAAAATAGAGCGCCTTTCTGGGCAGGAAAAAACTATGAAAATCAAGGAGGCCATAAAGGCGTCCTACAATTGTAGGAAGTCTGACGATATGACCCTAAGTATAAACATAGATAATTCTAACAAGTTAGAAATTAGAAAAATGCAATGTACAACTATTGAAAAAAGTCATGAAATGTACTCAACTGGCACAATGCAGTGATCGTGAATGCATGCATGGGCCAGTGTTGAGAACACTACAAAAATCTGGAGGAAGCGAGAACGTCGCGTGGAAGCTAATAGCGTTTTTGGGAGGAAAATAAGAAATGTTTAACTATCAAAAGGGTGAACTGAAGACGTGGGGATCTGTTCTTGAATCGGCCATTCAAGTGCACTACGTCGAACATACATACAAGTTCATCATGGCAGATTGGAGGCGTGTCATTAAAAATCGTCAACTATTCATTGAAAATCTGGTTGGGTCTGATGATACTCAACCTATATTTAAATTACGATACACTGATGACGGGCAATTAACCAGAGACAGATGCGTACTTTATTTTTACAGTTACAAATACAGCTACGACTTAAATCCCAGATGTACTACAGAAAAACCCAAATATCACTGACTAGGTAATGAGTTCAACCGAGAAGCGGCGAGAAGTGTGCAATACGTATGGTAGACAGAGAGCGCCCATGGTAACGCGGCAAACTCGTCCTCTCACGTACACATTACGACCTCAGTTTTTTGTGTGTACTATATTTTATTGTTAAAATTCCCAGTCACTAAAAGAATCTAGATTTGTGAACAACAGCTCTGAATCCGGTCCCGAGTTTTACCAGATTTACACCCGAATCATTATTGCCAATGTTACAGACAAATACAAAGATGTCATTTACTGATCAGCTGTTCATCTCAGTAGACGTCAAAACGTAATGGATACTCGTGAAATAGATTCTAAGGTTGTAGTTCTTAATCTTTGCTCTCCATATTTTTTTATTCTTGTTTTTTCTTGCTTATTTCTATTTACTCTTGTCTGGTTTCCGGGTGACCAGGCTGACGGAATAACCAACCGGCTGACGTACTTGACAGTCAACGGCGAATAGGAAATCTAGAATATGTCGACAAAACGACTAATATCCAATGAACTTACGTCTGCTTCTTTTCCAAGCTCTGCAAACTTCCTTTGAGGTTATTGTAAGCAGAAGACTTGGTCTTCAAATCAGCGTCTATTTGCCCCACTTGTTTGCTGATTATATCAGCAATATTACGTAGGGATTGCTTAATAGGGTACTTGGCAATATCCCACTGGAACCGCGTCAAGTAAGTCGGTAAATCGGCTGCAAGCAACAGAACGAAACATTATCAGACGACTTGCTGGAATAGCTGTAGACATACACAACATTTTCAGTTATATGGATATGGGAGTGTCTTGGGGGAAAAGTCTTGCTAATGTTGTCAATATTATATAATGTATGTAATATCACGCCTTTAATACACAGGAGTATGATCAAGACTTTGAAATTAAAACTAGGTTAAATTTTAGCACATTATGCTAAGTATCTTATTACAGTATATTGTTTCTATATTAGTGTAGACCCAGTATAAGTAGACTATGCAATTTGCATTTGTGTGTACGGCAACTTAAGGAAGCTTCAAAATGATAAAAATGGAATGGAGACAAATGTGATAACATTGATAGTTGCCCAAAAGCACGAAACAACTATCCATAGTTGGCCATCTGTATATTACTAGCCATTTGTTATTTTTGATCGTTGATGGGCTAGCTTAAGCTCGTCAAAGTAACGATATTGTGCAAAGAATGCCTGAGTATGATGTTTCTCGTCCATGGGATATAGGGTAGTAATACTGCCCTCCGTTTGTCCACCCACCATGGGCCAACCATGTACAGCATTGTTTCATACTTAATGGCAATCGTCAACTTGATGCCGCCGATTCAGGTTGTTAATTACGAATAAGTATGAAAGAGCCCTGTGCATGGTTGGTCATCTGGTAGTCAAACGGACAAATGCAGTATCATTAGGTTTCACTGCCGACTATACCTTCATCTACTACAACACCAGAAACAGAGAACAGAGATACGCTTACAGTTTTAATACATAGCTGCTGTTCACTTTCGCGGTGGACGATTCTGGCAGTATAGATGAGATACAGGGTGTTGTATTTTAATTTTGGAAATCGTTATTTTTATATATCTCAGCCTATTTTTGTTATATCGACAAAGAATTGGAAATCATTGTTTTCTGAAGGCAAATAATACGATTCTATTCTATTAGCAAGGCATGTAGAGGGCGCTAGTTACATCCTATTTATTTCTATTACACAACATCTTTTAAAGTTATTTATATTTCAACCTTTTATCGTACAGTCTCAGAAATATTTCGTAAATAGTTAAATATGTTGTCAAAAGAAATGTTAAGGATATTTAACAATATAGGGTATATTGGAACATCATTTTGAGTTTTCCTCTAGTTTGTTATCGAGTTCCAAATGCGCATGTATTTTGAATTTGCCTTGCCATATTATAGTTATAATATTTTATCTTACAATACTTCATGCCAAAAACATGCGAGTCTTCGAGATGCCAGAATATGGACTATGATAGATATGTTCAATGCACAACGGATACTTATAGTTGCAGACATATATATAAAACAAGTCAATCTAGTTTTCAGCTTCAGCAACAAAATTTTAGTAATGCCATTTATATGTGGCTATATCAAATAAGATGTATCAGAAATAAGTTTCAGAAACTACATTATAGCAAATATATATGAGAACTTGATATGTGTCCAAACTTATTTCTATAGAGTACCTCAGGAAAACTGGCTAGTGAAGGAGGAAATAAAAGTATGATTTGATACTTGTTAGTCTACATATACTAGATCTACTGTTAGTTATATTAATGTTAGTAATAGTTAATAGTATTAATACATTGCAAAAGTTCTCCTCCATTACAACTTGCTTAAGCATGAGACAAAAATAAGTGTCAGTGACCACAATCTAATGTAAGCCAACAAATAATGTACAATGGATACAGACGCTATCAGAAGACGCTACAAAAAGTCTAGTAGGACTAAAAAAAATACAAACAAATGTGCTCGGGTCTAACTCATCCTCTTTTCTAAAACTAAATTTGATTATTCTGAAAGCTTTCATTCGCTTAGCTGAACAATACGCATACGGAAATCGAACTACTCAAGCTAAGTTTTAGGAATGCTTAAGCACAATTTTTGTTGACCAAAACAATGTAGATATAGAACGAGTATTTCAGATTTGAGTAGAAATTCATCAGCACAAATATTTTCATTGCTTAACCTAAAAACGCTAAGTCGCATGCGCTAAGAACAAAAAACATGACAGAATAATGTATAAAATTTGATTCACGAATGAGTAAGGCTCAAGAATTGTTATTTTGTCAGTCTAGTGAAAATGAACCCATGAAATGAATTTTTGCAATGGATTATTTTTCTACTACTTAGTCGATTGAAAAATCTATGGAAGAACTAATGACTAGTTGTAAAATAACTATGAGTTACCTTGTTCAAGTGCAATTCGTAAAGGTGTTCTACAACTAGCTGCATATTGTGTTATGAAAAATAAAATTTCAGGCAATCAACTTTCTATGCAATTCCACTAACATCAATTATTGTTACCGAAATAAAATCAGATGTAAAAGAATTACTGGCAGTACAACTGTAGCTATGCATATGGATAATATTTGACAGAAAATGTTTTTAAGAACATGATCTTCCTTAATTTTTGGAAGAGATACTGCGAGTAAGACTTCATAGGTAATACCATTAATCCCTAATGTAACTGAAATGAAACCCAAAACCACAGTCGAGACAATACAGAAGTATTAATATGACGTGTTTCATTTTGATCACAAAGGTTCAAGTGTGCTATTCTTATTGCAATGTGACACATCTGTCAAAAAGCTTATGACAATCTACCCTCATTTTTCAGAAAGAATTATTGGGAAAATTCCAAAATCTTAACACCCCAATATGACAAATTGACAGAAGTGTCACTTTTGCCACTACGAACTGACCTAAGTCTTGCAAGACCCGAGCATACTCACTGTGTGTATACTGGGTGAGGAAAACACCGAAAAATCATAAATATCATCGCTATTTAATCATACGTTTTCATATATTCTATCATAAAGATAGTTTTAACAGCAAGAATATTCACGATAAACTTACAGTAGTAGAAGTACGCAGAATGTAGACATTAACCTCAGTGTCTAACATACCTACAGTTAAATTGCCAACTTTTAGACGTCCTACTATTGTAAGCAACGTAGAAACCAAAAGTCCGTCGTATTGATAACGCATGTCGATTACGGACTCACCACAGCTAGATCAGATATAAAGGGTGTCCCAAAATTAACGCAAGATTTGAATTAAATAGAAAATGCCATTTTTAGTCTTTTAATAGTTATATTTTTATTGACTCATAAAGTACATAGGATAGGGTTATGTATGGAATAACACATCGGACAAATAGCCTCCACGGCTTTGCATGCACATGCGCACTCTTTTGTCGAAATTTTCCATGACCCTTCTGCATAAATGTGGCTGAAAATCGTTGATGCAGCGTTGAATCTCCTCCTTTAATGCACGGGTGGTTGTGGGCTTGTTGACATAGACTTGTGATTTCAAATAACCCCATAAAAAGAAGTCTAATGGTGTTAAATCACACGATCTAGGAGGCCAATTTTGATCACCGAAACGAGAGAGTACACGACCGGGAAATGTCTCATGCAGTAATTGAATTGTTTCACGGGCTGTATGACATGTGGCACCGTCTTGTTGAAACCACATATTGGGTACATCAATATCATTCAATTTTGGCAGAAAGAACTGTGTAATCATGTCGCGATATCGAGCACCAGTAACAGTCACTGCTTGACCAGCATCATTTTCAAAAAAATATGGCCCAATTATGCCTCCAGCCCAAAATCCACACCAGACAGTCACGCGTTGTGGGTGCATTTCTTTTTCGACAATCACACGTGGGTTCTCCGAACCCCAAATGCGGCAATTTTGGCGATTGACAAAGCCATCAAGATGAAAATGTGCTTCATCGCTTAGGATGATTTTGCTTGAAAAATCAGGGTCCATTTGTTGATGTTCAATAGTCCATTCAACAAACTCTCTTCTCTCTGCATGGTCATTAAGCTTCAATTGTTGTGTTAATTGAAGTTTGTAAGCATGAAGACACAGATCTTTGGTGAGTATACGCTGTAGAGAGGTTCTTGACATTTGCAATTCTTGTCCACGACGTCGAATTGAGGTTCCTGGATTGTCCGCAACACTCTCACGCACTGCTTCGATATTCACATTTGAACGGCTTGTTTTTGGACGACCAGTGTGTTTGGCGTCTCCAACGGATCCAGTCTCCATGAATTTTTCAATTAATCTCTTCACAGTTGACGAAGTTAAAACACTATTCCGGCCATATTTTGTATGAAATTTTCGAACTGCAGCCGCCAAGCTTTCACTATTTTTGAAATATTCTTTAATAATGAAGACACGTTGTTCTATCGTGTAACGCTCCATTTTTCATAACCCTATACTGTTAGCTGTCAAATTGCTTTTTTTCAGGGTTGCCAACACTTCACTGCACAAATGGCGGCAAATTCAAATCTTGCGTTAATTTTGGGACACCCTTTAGCTGTAAGATCAGATACTCGAGTAGGATGATGTTGAGAATATTTGTGATGGATATAAAAAGTATAATCAATATAAAAATACTTCTGCGAACGAACGAACCTAAACTAGACCAGCTCTCGTTCTGAATGGAAAACATATTACCACTAGGTCCAATACCAAGTTCACAAATCTTTATTGTTTTGTTTAAAATATTGAAAACACGACATTTTAGCCCACAAGTGGAGAGCTATTCTAAAACTGCCATAATCCAAAATTAGTGTTTTGTATAGTTAGTGTTTTGTATAGCAACAAAATATGAATAGCTATGTAACATTATTATTTTCGAGCTCAACAGAGCGAAATCGGAAATATGACACCAATGTTACCTATTGGTGTTTTCAACGAAACTTGTCCAACAAGTACATTAAAATCACATCGGACAGTAGTCAACGTTGCAACATAATCGCCTGAAGTGAGATTCGCCCCTAAACACCACAATGAATTCTCATTTTTTACCGTAAGTTGTAGATAAAACGAAAATTATTTTTGTTTAGTGCGTGCCCAAAGAATGGGGTACAACTTAACTCCAAAACTCACTTCCAAGTAGATAAAGCAACTAACAGGAATACACCTGAATCTTCATCAAACGTTATGATAAACTCTGACTCAATCAAACAATCGACCCAGGCAGCCCAAACTTCTACTTGACCACAGATATAACTCATCTAAACTATTTTCCCCCAATTGATGGGTTAACCTCCACCTAATACTCATAAAACTTGTGAGCAAAAGGGGCTACGAAAGATCCTAGGGCCATCTATGAAACAGTAGCAGAACCAAACACTCTAATTCATTCATTCATTTTTGTGTCCTGCTACTGTCTCATAGGTGGCATCAAGATACTTTCGATCAAGTTTTTGAGGCCCCCTACAGTATATAGCTATATCCAGCTAGAATACGTTAATCAATGACGAAGGTCAAATTAGAAATCAGTATTGATTTTACTCGGTTTTTTTCAGCGGTATCATATACAAACGAACTTTTGATTATATTTTTCCCCACCCTGCGTATAAAAGGCGTGACAAGCCGCATAGTGTATGTGTAAAATAAAAGATAAAATTTGGGTGCAGTCGCGCAAAGCCGGGGCGAGTACATGTACCTACAAGGTGTCAAATGAATCATCTTTCAACTGCTGATACGTAACAAGTTGTTAGAGAATATATTTAGAAGAAAATTATCTTTAGAATACTACATCTTCTTTAGAGATGCATAATATTTTTCGAAACTTAAATACGTTTTCTACACCTAATTTATAATCTGGCAACTAAGACTCACCCACAGATACTTGTGATTCCAATAAGCTAAAGCATCTCCATATTCTTGTTTAATTTCTGATAGATGGACAATCCATCAAAACGAAGAATAAAATAACGCCTCTAATATATTTCAAGTTTGAAATTCATAACTTCGTTATAAACGGATATAGCTTGTTAACAAAAACAACAGCTTGTCAGCACCACAGAATAAATACATTTCCTAGCTATAGAATTCACCATTTTCAAACATCCACCATAGTTCCATATTTTTTCCCAGTAAATTTCACAATGCATTAGCAACCATAAGCTAAATATATGAAAAACAATTTTTGTCGAAAGATGATCAAGACAGTTCATTATAACGTTTGAAAATAAATCAGGTGTATTGCTCAGAGCAAGCTATTACGTTTATTTAGTGAAAAGAAGCTAAACTTATGGTAAATTTCTACCGCTTTGAGAGAAACGCAGATACACGTCAAAAGATCTGTTGAGTATTCCAAAGACCACGAGCCTTTACTTATCAGCAGTCAAAAGATCTTCAGATTTTTTAATTACCAATAACACGGTAGATGCATACATCGTATGTGTGACTTCAGTCAAACGAACGGTATATACAGCATCCACTTTTCCAGGACCATCAGCTCGCTCCGATATGCGTTATTTTAACTCTTTTTTTTAACAACCACAAAACTACCTGCTCATAATTTTTTTGTCAGCGTTGATTAACGTATTCTACCTGAAGTTGGCCAACCTAATGCTATATTCCCGCGTCCAAGAAATTATTCGAGATGAAGTGAGATACTCCGTAGCGTCATCCATGAGAACTTGTCACAACTATGTTTCTCCTCCCCGATCTAATTAGAAATCTACTTTGAAACTGTTAGTCACTCATATATAGCGCTGTAGGCAACTATATTAGCATAAAGCATATAATTGAATACAGCGCCGCCATCTATGAGACATTAACCTTTTTCCAAGCTGATTAGTGCGGAGAGGAGAGGCGTAGCTATGACAAACTCTCATACATGACGATACGGTCTGATTTAGGTTGACTATCTTCAGGAAGAATACGTTGATCAATACTGGGAGGCACTACCGCGATCGAGAAAGATTCCAAATATTATTCAGAGCGTTTTTTCTATTTTTTTTTGACACTATCACAAAACCCTAGAACACCGAGTCACCAACAATCCAAAATGACAAAATCGAGTGTCTCTTGAACTCAGTTTAAAAGTATGTAGGCCGATTTGGTGGTTTTTGCTGCAAATTATTTTTGGTAAAGAAATCAGGCAATTATTTTTTCAATGTCTACCAAAGATAATAAGTCGTTTTTTCCCAAAAAATAAATCAACAGATCATCTTCTTATTTAGTACCCCCCTTCGGGGTGGTTTGGTATTTATATGCAACATTTACCAGGTCTTGCCCGTCAGAGGTGGCCAAGGTAAGACGCAATTTTTGGGGTGGGTAGTACATTCAATTCACCCTCATGTAATACAAATTAATGGTCTTACTCCGGTACGCAAGATCATCAATATCGAATCATACCATCCAATCTTAATCAGGACTGAAAAGTCCAAATGTGATGAATGAGAGCGAATGGGTATTTAATAAGAAATTGATGTCGTGTTTTATGAAGCGAATTTGAGTTTTAAAGCGATGAATCTCTCTAAGACCGTATTATCAAGTGATGGCATATTCAGGGTTGAAATAATTCTGATTTTTACCATAAAAACCGCCCAAATCCACCCCCAACCCCCATTATGTTATTCCCTTGTTGGGAGCTTCGGTGGTTAGCGCGTTGAGGTAGCAATCCGGGGACAGCAAGTTCGAATCTACGCCTCGAAATCGCGGGTGGTACATTAACGATAGGTACATCACATCGCTGAAGCTATTATATCAGTTACCAGTAGATGACTCGTGGAGTAGTACAGTTGACAGGCTACGCCTCAACACCACTACTACTACTATTTCTGGAGTTATAAAGCACCTTAAGTAAATTCTAAATAACACTTTAGGTGACTCCAATTTGGTTTTTAAAATCATTTGTTTTATTGCCCTTTGTAAATGCTAAACCTAGTCTCGACCGCGGTTGCGCCATAAGGATTTGTAATCCGACTCTGAGTAAAGCTATGCAAAAAAGTATAAATGCCGCATACGTAGGCAAGCTCACCGCCCGGGCTATAGAGTATTTATTGGTTATCCGGGCTTTATTCATTGGACACCTAGTACAAGGCAGTCACATAGCAGCAGGCCGCGCCGCGCGACTGACCTGGCCCGAGCACCAGGTCGGTTCGAGTCGGGGAGCCGTCGTCTTCCTCGCTGCCGCCAGTGGTGGTTTCCAGATCCAGCGCGTGCCCCCCACCTCCTCCAGGGTCGACGTCCATGACCATACAGCCGTCGCACGCACACCCGAACAGACACAGGCCGTGCATCAGTGGTGCGGACATGGATACCGCGCTAGCGTTTGTTTCTTGCGTTCGCTCAACGGGGGATGCTGGACAGCTGGTGCTGCCCTCTTCCAGGTAATGGCCGCGGTGGTGCCGACCGTTCGGAACCGCCCTGCTTTTTGCGCGGCGTCGTCGGTGCTCGCGTTTTTTGTTGTCTACCGATTCAATGTCATCTAGCAGGGATGAATCGGGTCTAATCCACTCAAATAGGGCAATAACAGGGGGACAGTACAGGTTTGATCTACCTCATAAGTGGTGAACAACGAACGAAAGCAGTGATGATTGCCAGTAACCAGCTGTACAAGTTTGGTGCTTCGTTTGGTCAAACGCGCGACAGCAGTATTTTCAGTTTTTCAAAGGCGAGTCATTTACAGTATCATCAACGGCATTAAGCGGTCACAGTGGCGCTTTCCTGAAATACAATTCCAATAGACAGCTGCTGTTCACTCTTGCAGTGGTCGATTCTGGTAATAGATGATCCATTGTTTTATTTCGATAGACCTTAAACCTCAGATAGAGGATACTTTGCCTGCTTCCATTCGTTGTCTTACCTACAGACCAAGCCTAGTCCGTGCTGATGATCGCCAATAAGCATGAAACAGCTGTATACTGTTGGCCCTCTGTTGGTCGGACGGACGAGATCAGTATTAGTTCTGCAATACATCTATATCGCCAGAATCGATAGCATCAGGCGGTCAGTAGTAACTCGGCTGTCAGAGCGAACTGAGATAGTTTACAATTAAAATATACGATTGCCATTCACTCTCGTATAGTTCACCACAGACTTATACTCGTAGTTTGTTTACATTTTTTCAGCTTCTTTGTGGTACCGACACGCATATGGTGTGGTCATTATAGGATTCAGGTCTAAATAATGATGAAAGCTGGTTCATCGGTATTAATTATACATTTGAGCAATGTGAGATAACGTAAAAAGCACTAATAGTTTTATATAATTGCTTTAAATGTAGCGACTCAAAAACAAATTGCATTGTTTCGATACAGGCATAGCAACAAATTCAGATAATTTGACTATGCTATAAATGAAGCAACTTGAACCGCTAGACCCTACCTCCTTCTCAAGCCCCCGCACCTCCACAAGCTAGCCGTCACATAAGTCGCCTTATTGGTTTTATGACTTTTTTGCAACAAAAACCCTAGGCGGATTCTATAAGTCTGTCAAGAAATGTAGCAGTATTATTACCCTGATCCGCTTATGAGGTAGTTTAAACTTTTTTTACTCACAAACTTCGTTGGACTGCCCTACAAGAGTTTAATCACAAAATTCCCAGAGTCAATCTGACATTAACGACACGGCTATTAAAAGTATTCATATAGCTACTGAAATACGTATATTGAATGTAAAAATACCATGTTCTTTTGTGTACTCAAGGTCATTATTTTGAATGGTTAGGTGAATATTCCAATATCAAAATATTTTATTATTTCATCGGCAATTGGTTAGGAGAAAAAGTCATTGAATTATAGGTGTTTACCAATATTTTTAAACGACTATGAATCTAAGTGCAAGTAATTTCTAACATCCAACAACTATACCAGACCTATTTTGAGAGAAAACTAATTTTTATTATATATTCTCAACAGCGTCTTATTTTTTTTTACCCTGCACCAATACCACCCAAAGGTGAATAAGCCACATGTGATTTCAACCTATGAAAAACCTGAATAAACATATGTATAGCACCTGTATAATACAGACAGACAGCATCTATTTTTTACCCTGCACCAATATCATTCAAAGCCCAATAAGCAACATTTCACTTCAACCTATGAAGAAAGTGTACTTTGTTGGAATTAAAAAAATTGACATGCTTTCGCGAGTGTCACTTGTAGTTAGTTAAATTAGTAGTTAGTAATGTTGTGCATGCCATAATCAATAATGTCTTAAAGGAGTATGATAAGTACAATTTTCGCCATGTCCTAATCAGACAAAAATTGTAACTACATACTATATAGCATATCCCCCTATCTAATAAAGTCCTTGCAACTTAAAGATTCGTATACTATATGATGTACCAAGAAATTCGGAAATAAACTTACATCTACCAAAGGAAAGAATTTCGAAAATAAAAATAAGAAAAAAATGGTACAATGAAAATAGCAATGAGTGCTTGGTTCTGCTATTGCCTTATAGGTGGCAGTAGGATCTTCAAATCCCTTTTGATATGGACAAATTTTAAATATATAAATTAGAAATTTGACGTCAAATGAGTGCAGGAACTTAGTGGATTTCTTTAAGTAATTAGAACCTGTTCTAATTTTTCCCAAGTTCAAAGTCAAAATCCATATAGTGCCTACCTTGTTCTCTTTTCCATCATATTAAACATTTTTGCGGTTTTGCGGTCCAAGTATAGAACTTTGATAGAACTACAGTATTCAACAATATGGTTTATCTTTACGAGATTCCAATCAAGATCAAAACCACAATAAATATAACAACTCAAAATGTTTCTAGAATCTGTTATTGTAATTGGCAGAACTGTATACTGTCAGATAATCCATGAATTTGTTCATTGCACTGCAAAACATAATCAGGATGACCATGACGAAATCCATCTGAATAAATTCGTGGTGAAATTGTTGAGTTAAAACTGGTATAATATCTTTTTAATTAGGTATCTTCAGGAGAAATACCTTAATCACTGCAAGAAGATTTCTAATTAAAATAGTTATTAGAGAGACGCCAAAAAGGTATTGAATGTACAGCACCACCTATGATATAGCAGCAGAATCAAATGCTCTCTTTCCAAAGTAGATTTCTAAATTCATTTCTGTATTCTGCTACTGTATCTCAGATGGTGCTAGTATCTTTCCAATTTTAGATTAAATGGTTTAACAGAAGATTTTTTCAGACCTACCTCTCAAAATCTGAATTTTCTCGGTTTGGATAAAATCCACTGATAACCCAGAGATATTCTATGAACAGCTGATGTAAATGTTCTAAATTTCTTGATACACTTACATAGGTAACAAACATTGGAAACATAATTTTTTCGTCATTCATGACTGCAATAATTGAATATCAGACAACATGCCAATTTAAAACGCAGTTTCATTCCAAACTAGAAAGTAAAATATGCAAGCAAAAAAACAGACTTACTATTGTTAGCCATCAGATTTTCGTGAAGCTTATCCCTCTGGTCCTCGAGGACCTCGCCCAGGTATTGCGCTACCTTGCGCGTAACCTGCTCTACAAAACCATCCAACTTGCCCAGATCATCAGAGAGACCTACCAATTGGTCGAGGGTACCAACCTAATGAATAACATAAAATTTAGAGATGTAGAATTGTTAAATACCATCTACATGTGGTCGTCCTCAAGAAAGAAGGTCAGGAAATATTGAAATACATATTCAAAAAAATGGCGTCATGTAGGTTGACTCTGCACTAACTATACAATGCTGAAGAAAAAGGTAACTATAAACATGTATAAGAAAGGAATTAAATGAAGTTACTCAAATAAGCTCTTAATCCCCAGTATCCAACCATTTGACAGCAACCAGTCAGAAAATGTAACAAATACCATTATGAAATTACAAATTATCACTGCCTGTGTATTCAGGTGAAAATCATTTAGAAGCAGCACTCCCCAAAGAGCGCTAAATGAGTACTGAACAAAGTCGCTCATCTATAATCATGGAGGTGGAAACCTTGCTTTGGAATACACGAGATGCGGTGTTGCCAAGTGAACCAATGATGCAATGTTGCAGAATTTGTGGCGATTCTGATCTCTCATTTCGAGCTAAAATGGAGCGCCATAAGGACTGGGCAAGAATCAACCCTAAACAGATTATGCACAATTAACACTTCAAAAATGTGTATGCTCAAAATAAAACCAATATTTGGGCATAGAGAATAAACTAAAATAACGCATATTTTTAACATGCATCTGAACTCAATGAACTGGTGTAACATATTGGCAATGTGGCAGATTGCCGTTGCTAAGCAAGGTGGTGATGAGCTTTGCGATCCAGCTGGCTTCTATTTCTTTCTTACATATGTGCTTATACACACTTCTCTCTTGTACACAATGAACTCAAGCCATCAGACAAATTTGGTTCTCAGTGTATAACTTACCTTCAAATCTGGAATCTGGAACTTAAAATTTGTAGACAAGTTGTTCTGTTTACTTGTCAAATCATTCATGGTCTCCCATGTTTGTTGGCACGTCTTATCACCAGGTGCTGATATTAACCAGTACTCAGTCATCTCTTCGTGTTCAATGGATGACCTGACAGAGTGTCCACTTCCGCTGTCTGTCCTGTGGGAATGTGACTCACTTCTGGAAAAAAATTAAAGATCACATCCTACGACTACTACATTCACATTCTATAAGAATGACATTATAAAAGTATTTTGAGTCATTGATGAATCTAGTACCCATGGCATGGTATTGAAGGCTGTTAAGAAACTCTAGCCAACCTTAAACACATTTGAGATTGTAGACATATACTCGTAAAGGATAAAGGAAGGAGACATTCATGAGACTTTATGGTCTGCCCACACTGACTTCAAAAGAGACTCCACATAATACTTATATATAAATAGAGATGCACAATAAGCCTTATGATTGAAAGACATTTGATAATTTGACTGATTATTACTCAATCTTATGGATCTACAATCATAAAGGATAGGGATAGATGAATGATAAGCTTTCAGAACAACTTCAAGTGACATTATTGGAGATATTAATCAAAAGATGTATGATTGCCCATTTTGGATGAAGGTCCTATATATACAAGAGTCATTTTAGCAAATGACAAGAAAAACAGCAGAAAAGGTCAAGGTTGCATTTTGATTATTTAATTAAATATGATCATGTGGTCATGTTATTAGTAGTTAAAGAAAATGCATCCTACACCTGAACATGAATTATTGGAGTGTAAGATATACAATTGCCAGTAAACTTCAACTTTCTGGATCAAATATGGAGAAAAAGAAAACAAAATATGTGCCCAGAATCCACAGCTGTCTGGATGTATATTTATCAATATTATCTTTGGCTAATATATCAGTTTCAATATTTTTGACCTAATCATGAATTATAATTATTTTATTTTCTACTACTTTTGAAAGTATAGTTTAAATTTTCACCTGAAATATAGACTCTACATCATTCACCGGAAACAGCATTTTTTCAATGTAGCTTACTTGATTAGTTTGTACCTCATCTTAGTACTTTGATGTCATGTGACTCAAAAAGTCTGGAAATCTCAACAGCTAAGCATCACTACTACAATTTGTAAAGCACAAAAAAAATTTACTAAAAACTGATCCAGTATACTCACAAATGTTACGTACGACTGTAAAACCACTCAATAATGCAGGGGTGTAATTATTACTTCCACCTAGCAAACACAAGTTCATGTTGTCCTACCCAATCCATAAAAGGAGTAAAAGGGCACATCAATAAATAAGGACATTCTAAATTTGTTTGTTTCTGTTATTAATCACAAGTGCTAAATAGGTCATCGGTGACTACCCCTGCGTACAAGAGGGACGAAGATCAAGTAATCTATCGACTGGCAATTGTTTCTCTAGTTACCTCGAATAGGAACACTGCAAGCACTGAAGCTGAACGATATTTCTGATACATTGAATAGAGAGATATTTGTAATATGGTTTACCTAAGAAAGAAGAATAATTTCCTAAAAGCACCCCTCAAGAACACAACCACTCCCCAGCAGACAGCTGATCGTTAAAAAAGATTCACGTGATTACTGTCTTCGCTGTCGATAGCTACCCGCTGCCACCTATTGATAGCACTTAAAAGCACTTGTCGGTGTGATGTGGGTTACCTATCCATTGCTTGATTTTGTTTGATGGGAGATGGGTTCATTCGAATGTTTGAAAAATATCATTTCCAAGAAGGTAAGGTTTATTCTCTTTACAATGTAATAAATATGGAATAAAAATCGTTACGTCACCAATACATGAATCTGTTTGTTTCTTAAAAAAACCTAATAATCGTGGTGAGTGGTGGTACGTGTTTAACGAAAATACCGAGAAACACCTCAGTTTTGAAGTAGAATCAATATGGCTTTGAGAAAAGTACACTTTAGGTTTATAGTTTACAAAAACATAAAAACGCAAAGTAAAATTGAAAGTACTAAAAACAGGGGAAAGATTTTTCTTAACATTCTGTAACGCACAATATAGAAATGTGGAACGGAAAACGAAATATCATTAACATAAGAATTTGTTATACTTTTCTGAGGCCTGATATGTTTTCCCAAACTATTTTCTATTATTAGACTAGAAAAAAATGGTTTATTATTAGGGGATGTTATGTACTTACGAATTTGATGTCGAATCACGATTGGGTTCATCTTTGGAGTCTTTGTGATGGAAAAGGTGGCTAAAAGGCATATTACAAGCAAACATTCGACACAATTGATAACAGATATTCAGTTTTTGGTTCTCTTTGTCCAACATAACCATTATAATCAGATGTCACACAAATGATTTTGACCCGAAAATACACCTTCTTCATGACATACATTGTCAGAAATGAAATCTAGAAACGCAGAAAAAGCTTCCATTACCGTGATTGGCTTCGTGCAGATACGTACTTAGAATTTGTGGTACCAGGTATCAGCATGTTCAGAAACGACGCTGTAAAAAATGACGCCAAGTAGATTGACTCATTCCAATATATTTCCAATATTCTTTATGCTGTTCTAGAACTCAAGAACGTTTGATTTCGCAGATATCCTTAGATTTAGTAAGTTATCAGTGATCTGGCACATACAGCAGGTTATCAAAAAGCTCTTAGATATATTATCATAGCCTTCATACCAATCTTAATATCCTGTCTACACGGTCAATAAATATAAAATTCCATGATAAATACTGGATGGTTCATAGGGTTAATAGTAATGTTTGACAGATAAAGTTAACGATACTTGTTCGACAATTCATTTCGTCAGCTGGATTTGCAAAAGGTTTGAAAATCATTGCTAGAACATATGCCTATTAATTTTAATATATTTCTCCAAAAGATATCTAATTCAATTGAAAGAAACCGAATTTTCCCGTTTTAATCTCTTCTTTGCTTTATTTGACATGGGTTTTCAAAAAAAGTACATCAGTGCTATAAACCGTTAAAATGCGTCAATTAATAAAATTCTCAGGAATGCCTTCAATTAGGAAGCTCTGATGGGTCGAACCATGCGTACCGCCAGGTTGCTCTTTGCCGAGTGAGTGCCTACTAAGCTGTCCTCTCCCGGCATTGCCCCGAAAGTGTCGTTCCACGTTCGCTATACCAGCTCTTTCCTTATGTAAATAATCAAAACAAATACTAGATGTAGGCATCGATAACGTCAACAGTCTCATTTTTTTTCTCCTCCGGAAATACTCGGAATTTTTAAGATCCATCTTCTTAGTTACCTAAATGCGCAACTTTGCCCCCATTCAACCAACTTCGTATCTCTTACGAAGATTCCAAATGGTGAGAGTTGAATATGGAAACACATACAAGTCGACCAACCCCGTTAGGTGCCAGCGTCGCCACTTCTGAGACTGTTGTCGTAGAGGCTAAGAGATGGCCTTTAACTGTCGTTGAACCATTTTAATAATTCGAAATGTTAGGAATAGTTACGAAAGGGGTTAATGGTTGATCCTTCCTTGGAAAGTTGATATCATTTTCAAGAATAAAAGGAAAATGGAGTTGATTTTTATTACTTCTAAGGGAATTACTGTGTTTTCGTACTTGACAACGTAGCAGTATTAATGAAAATTGTATAAATACATCATGATGGTTGACGTCTTTTTGAAAAATACACGTCAATCAATGGTTACAATACCGTAACTCAGTTACTCAGTACTTCCCTGAGATTTAGAAGATCGCTAGGCTTATCGTGAAAAAACTTGGCACGATATTAAACATACATTTATCGTTCTATTGTTCTGCTGTGGACTCCGCTCGCTAGAAAAAATATTTACCATGGCCTTCTTATCAGATCACAATACGATTCTAGAATCGACTACGATTTTCAGTTTCTACACTCATCGTTGATCTGTATGTAAATCAAGAAATCACGGGAAACGAATTCAGTTTAGTTACATCATACGTCTGATGCCTGTTCGGCAAATGATCATAAGTGTGATAGTCTTAGACCGTTCTTTGAAGATTGAGTACCGTTTGAGGAATGATCTTCGATTTTAAGCAAATAATACCGCTTCATTGAAGAACCTTCAAGGGGGCATTTCACAGAAGCCTGTAAATGTAGGATGTCCAAGATATATATATATATATATATATGCATGGGGGTCTCAATACCTGTGGGAGATAGAGCTTAGGTTAAATCAGGAAAGAGTTGCGCTCTTGGGGCGTATTTACATGCTGTCGAAAAACATGGCTTACTGAGATATTTGGGAAAAGTAAAATTTGACCAGACCATTATTTTTGTGACTTTATTTTAAGGAGCATCAAAAACCTAATGAAATTTTTCCGTTGACACTTTTAGGGCGCTACATGATGGTGTTTTTAAATTTTGTGACCGACGGTTCGTTTTTGAGAAACCATCATCAACTTTGTTTTTTATTATATGGTCCGAAAAAAGTACACCCTGTATCTAATAGCCTTTTTATACAAATTCAACGATGTATCACAATCATGTTACATTTATTTTCTGGGTTATAAGGAAAATGGGTTATTTTTTGATTTTTTTTCAAGTAGGCGTTGCAAACAAATGCTTGACTTGACGTAAATACCTGTCACCGAGTATTATTATTGTTTGTTGTAGATTTACTTAGCATTAATACTACAATATCAATGTTACACAATAAATCACATAATATATTATGTCTTCAATACTATAAAGTATTTTTATACAAAATTTCACTATCGTAAGATTTATCATATTTTCATCTAAAGATTTTTCTAAAAGCATACATTTTGTTTTGTCAGTGTTTAATTTGAGTTAAATCACATTCAACCAATTAATTATGTTGTAAGGCATCAGCAATATCGTTAATATATAAAATAAATAGTAATGGCCTTAATTTGCTACCCTACCTTTAATGCTTGACAGTGTATTTCCAATTTTAGTTCTTTAACTTCTATTAATTAAATAATTTTGTAATATGTTGAATACTGAGCCTTTAAATCCATAGTAATGCAATTTCGTTAACAATTTCTCCCTATCGATAGTCTCGAATGCCCTCTTGAAATCCAAGAACAATGTTACTGCAAACCTTTTTTTCATCCACATTTCGCCTCTATTCTTCTACTACCATTTGAATTGTAGGTACAGTAGAATATTTTTCCCTGCTGGGAATTTTGTCAATATGTTGTTTTCTTCAATGTATTGTTCATATATGATTCCTTCTAAAAGCTTTTCATCTGGCAGTACATTAATTGGCCGCATGTTTGTATATAACTCAGATTTTACACTTTTGGAACAGGAGTAATTGTAGAACATTTCGTCGCTTGAGAGCAGAACTATACTATGTCCATTTTTTCGTATTTTCCACTTTTAACATTAAGGTATACATTAGAGGTTGCTGAATTCAATGCAGAAACAGTTTATCTCTATAGTGGAGGGGAGACCAATAAAGTCCCAAATACAAACTAGCCTAACTTTTATTAGCAATTTGAATTCAGTGCAGAACTGTTCTATGATGCAGACAGTGTTCCAAAGTTGCGCTCGTCATTTACTCTGATGGACATAGACTAGTTCTGACCTGTCGGTTTGGAGTTAATATATAGAAATATTGAACATAGAATAGTTCTGATTTGTTTTCTTCGGACTTCGCATAGTATTTCAGTGGACATAGGTTTGTTCTGATTTGGCATTTATATGTTAGTGTGTTGTTAGTGGAGATAGACTTGTTCGGACCTGTGAATTGCGAGTTAGAATTGTATCAAAAAGGACATAGATTAGTTCTGACTTGGAATATAGAAGTTAGTATCTAGTGCTAGTGGACATAGACTTGTTCTATTGTAGTTTCCTGATTGTCTGTAAAATGAATAACAAAAGATCTGCTAAAATCTTGGAAATGGTCTTGTGTAAAAAAGTGAATGAACATTTGGGTAAGTAAAACAAAATATAAAACCAATCAATTTCTTGTATGTATTTCAAATAATATGTTATTGGTTATTTCATCAACCGAGTGCAATGTATAAATTTGCAATTCCTAAAGAAAGGACAAAGTATCACTTTTCAAAGGAGAGAGCGTTTTGGCTACTTTGTCGCTCTCCTAGAAATAATCTCAAAAATTTTATAGACAATGGAAGTTCGTAATATGTATATCTTTTGATAAACTTCTTAGTCACACGTTCCCATCTCAACCTATTATTGGAATTATTTAGTGACATCTTTCTGTCAAATTTAAACGTCTCGAATATTTACATTAAAGATTAATTTGTTATGGTTATTTTACAGAGATACCGTTCGTAGAAAAAATCTTATGTGTATTTCGAATGCAAAGCAATGAGTGAATCTCGGCTCTCGTTCAGAGCCGCATTATGCTACTTTGCGCTTTTAATACACAAATAGCTATAGCTGTTCTATAAAATGCTCTTAAATATTTTACAATTACTATTTTGCTGTCATAAAAAAAGTTTTCTTATAATATAATGCCTCTACAATTTTTGTGAGATTTCAATTTGTATTTTCAGGCGGAAAAGTTGATATTAATGTAAATCAATCGATCACCGATCCAAAGCAAATCAACATTAATCGCACAGATGAATCTACTCCTATGGTTGATTGTCATTTTACGATTGACTCAACCAATTTCGAACATCCAGATATGAATATGAGTAAGATGTGTTTGATAAGTAAGTAGAATATTTTTGTTTGCGATATAATATTATAATTCTGATTTAAATTTTAGTTGATGCACCTGCTACAGTAAGCAGTGATATGGATTGGCAAACCAAGCATGGAAAACAAAGCAAGAAAGATGAGTTAGCTATAGAGATAGACCCACGATACGTGAACTGTCCTGATTTGGAATATCCGCCTTATTTATTACCAGCAGAAACCTCCATTAGCAAAAAGATCATGTAACGTTAGCGTCAGTCAATCAACTGAATGATTTTTTTCGGCCTAGTGTACCTGGTGTAGCTGAAGAAAAGTCAAAAAAACATGTACTTGAAGTTCCTATGACCTCAATCAGTCAATTAATTAAGCTTTCTGAACCTAGTACATCTTACACAGCCAATAAGATAGACAGACTTCCAACTTCACATCTACTTGATGATTTGGAAATAAGTTCTTCAGAATCCGATCCATTTGGTGGAGATGATGATGATAAAGACCCTTATTACCAGTTATCAGACAATAATAAAAATAAATGCAGAAATCTTATTGGTAACAATAACTTGCCCATTAAGAATTCCAGTTCTGAAGGTTCAGATACAGAAGAAGAGCAAAAAAATAATTCAAGAAAACGCATACGAAGACCTGAAGGCTGGAGAAGAAATAAAATTAAAAAATTTAGAAATAGTGGAAGGTCTTATATAAATTGGAAAGGTAATCTTGTGAGTGAACGAAAAATGAAAAAACCTTGTAATTGTCGATTAAGATGTTCACATAAAATCGACGAAGTAAACAGAATAAAGATCTTTAGTGATTACTGGGGTTTATCAGATCTTAACCGTCAAAGAGATTATATTTCAAAATTTGTGATATGCCAGAATAAAGCGAGACATCGAAAAAGAAAAGTATCAGAGAGAGATGAGGAAGACAGTGAGAATGAGGAATCTAGCAGAAGAAATTTTACATATCTCTTTTATTTTGCTCTGAATGAAAAGAAAGTTCAAGTTTGTAAGACCTTCTTCCTTAATACGCTGAGCATCAGCGCACAAACGGTCAGAACTGTTTTCAATAAACTTGGTTCTACTGGGGTATTTACTGAAGGCAAAAGAGGAAAGGTTTGTAAAAATTCCATGCTGGACGAATCAGTGAAGCAATCCATTCGCGACCATATTCATTCTATTGAGACGGTGAGAAGCCATTACTGCAGATTGAATACAAAACGCTTGTTTCTGCCCACAACTTTAAATATCTGTAAAATGTTTCATATGTATGGAGAGTACTGTGATGAAAATGGTATTCAATGAAAAGCTACAGAAAGCATGTACAGAACGGTGTTCAATACTGAATTTAGTCTATCATTCTTTCAACCGAAAAATGATTTGTGTGATATGTGTCACAGGTATGAAAATGGTTCTACGGAAGAAAAAAGGGAAATGGAAGACGAGTATCAGCAACATTTAAGAAATAAGAAACTGGCAAGGGACATCAAAGCAGCCAACAAAGAAAGAGCAAAGCAAAGCACAAAACTTTGCTCAGCAGTTTTGATTTGCAGCAAGTATTATCGGTGCCAAAAAGTGACGTAAGTTTGGCGTATTATAAGCTTAAGCGATCTACATATAACTTCACCATTTTCAATTTAGCTTCGCAAAATGCCTTCTGCTATATGTGGTATGAATGCATTGCCAAAAGGGGCGCATCTGAAATTGGTAGCTGCCTTCTTCTTTTCATTGAGCACCAAGTTCAGAAAGGCGTTAATGAATTTGCGCTCTTTTCTGATAACTGCGCAGGTCAGAATAGGAATAAATATTTTTTTTTTCGCTCTACAATTATCTTTCTCAAAAACATAAAATAAAGATACGACACATATTTTTGGAAAAAGGACACACTCAGTCTGAAGGTGACTCGGTACATAGTGTTATCGAGAAGGCCGCTAGGAATGTCCCGATTTACACACCTGAACAATGGTACACCCTTGTCAGGACCTGCAAAAGAAAACAACCTTATACTGTAATTGAGTTGGAACAAGAAGATATCAAAGACTTAAAGACTCTACAAGAAAAGTCTTCAATAAACTGGGTCTGCAACGAACAAACCGAAAAAATTGTGTGGAACAAAATAAAAATAGTTGAAACCAGCTTTGAACATCCAAATATTATTTTGTGCAAATACACATATGAAAAAGATGATCCATTTCAAAAAATAAATATTTTAAAAAAGGGAAGAAAAACACTTGACGTTGTTGTCTATGATTTACACCTCAAACGGCTCTATCCCAACCTGATCAAATTAACTAAAAAAAAATATGACCACTTACAATTTCTTTGTAATAAAAAGGTTATACTGAATCCTTACCATGTATTTTTCAAAAATCTACCATTTGGTGAAAATCAAACATCTAAAGATTCTGACGATGAGTAGTATCTAATATGGTGTAATAATTGATGTGTTAGGTAGTTTTTGGTGGCTGTAAGATTCTGACTCAGTTTAGTTTTTTAGGGTTGTAGGTCAGGATTAGATCAAAATATAATCTTCCTTTTGGCTTCTCAAAAATTTATTTAACTTTGTTAATGTTTCGGTCATAATGTTCTTATGAAACATTGAAACATTTCGTTTCATAGTAACCGGACCTAAAATTCAAGAAAACTACTTATTGAATAAAAATAAATAAATAATATGTCAGTTTTTATGTAACAGGATTAGGTATAAGTTTGTTTATTTGAAATAAAATTTATTTTAAAGTACCCATTACTTATTTATTTCAATTAATCAGAACTATACTATGTCACAAAACTCAAAGTCAATTGCATTCTAACTTGCACATAGAATACTATGATTTGTAGGTAAATATACTATGTCCACTATTTTTGTAAATCACTTGGATTTTGAATTTCGATAAGAACTTTTTAATATATTAGCCTGCCCCAAACGATATAAAACATATACTTACTTTAAATTCTGAACACAATCCCAAAAATACAGAAAAAACCTTCTCCTGTAAAATTTGCATTTTGTGACTTAGTATACTTCTGCTCTCATGTGACGATTTAAATTTTGAATGAAATTCGCCATACACTAAACAGTAATTCACTAACAATAACTCCTCTGCAATAATGTTGAAACATTCTTTTAGAACCATTTTTGAAAGATGTTCACTAGGATTTCCATTTGATTTTAATCTTGAAATATTTGCCGATTTTGAAAGATAGCTGATGTTTATTGTTTGTAATTGACTCTTAGACGAATTATAAATAACTTGCATGTGACATAGGTTTGGATCCCCATTTTTGACTGACTCCACTTTTAGTATCTTCCACATAAGTTACTGTTGTTTTTATCTGTTAAACAATTGTTTCTTGATTTCTTATATTGTATCCAATCTTTTAAACAATTGTTTCTTGATTTCTTATATTGTTTCCAATCTTCCTCAGATTGAGTGATAATAAACTTCTTATAGTCATTACCACGTGTCAATTTAGAGTCTCGAAATATTTGTGAAAACCAGGGTGTTGGCTTTTTCCGTTGATATACCACTTTCGTAATATGTGCTTCTCTAATGCAGTTCTCCATATAATCCATGATTTTTGAGAAGTGTCAGCATCACTAAAAATTTATGATAATTATGATTGTTATACTTTAGTGATTTAGCTTTCGTTCTTCGGACCACAGACGTCCAACCAGTAGTCGATTCTGGTGATAAATGGCACTTTCTGTTGATCTTATTTCGATAGACCCTATATTTTTTGAATATTTGGAAGGATCATTTGAAAACAAGATGATTGATATAATACACTGTAGGATTGTGATCCTGTGTTTAACTATTTTATCAATTGCCTGAAAAAGTGTTTGTTCTTCTGCCATCATGCGTACGTTGTTCATTTAGTTCTGGAAAGACGATGAAACAGTACGCCAAATTAATAGATAGCCTTCAAATAAACTACTACACACCTGGTACCAAAATATATCGTACGAAACGGAAAACCTGAAGGAGTAAACTATACAGTTTTGTATTTAAAATGTTTGGGAATAACATTTTGCGTTATGCAACACCCTGAATAGATCATATTATCGGCATTTTCCGGCAGTTGAGCTTCAAGTTTCAAAAGAAGCGATTTTTTTCAGACAAATCAAATAACGAAATAAATGACAATCTAAATCCTAGTTTCTTACAGGGCCCTTCTAAATATCTAATAAAATATAGGGTGTTCTATTAAAAACCATTGTTGTTTCATGGAATTATGCAATACCTTGTATATTTCCAAATAACTTAGAGATGCACAGCTATAAGAAGACAATTTTGCTGCGCAAACCGTTTTCGAATATCTTACATAGTTTTTCTATTAAGCGACTTGAATTTCCGTTGGCACACTGTACATATTATATGTGTTCACGTAATTTTTATTATCGTTGAGTCCCCTGAGTAAAGACGAGTTAGTTTCCGTAAAATAGTGTATGCAGTCGTACTTTAGTACCCTGTATCTCCAATAGAAAGCATTTATGGGTTTGTGCCTATTGGAACATTTGGTCAGCACAACATGGCCTATCACTATACGAAGTTCATTTAAAATAGACCGGCGGTAAAATCCCAAATGTTTTGGGTCTGGCCTCCAAAAAATATTCATGTTAACGTTCTAAGAGAAGCATTTCAATACTTCAAATGTCTATTTTTTTTTGTTTGATAGTTATTTTTTGAACTGCATAAAGTTCCATGCAATCCTAGGAAATAGTGTGAAGAAAAAAATTGTTATTTAGATGCACGTACCTGGAAGAATGTTTTTCGGCTAAATGGACTCAATAGCCTATTTACTCAGCTTCGTCTTTTTTAAAACCTCGAGACGACCATATCTTACTGGGGTATTGAGTTTTTAATGAAGGGCCCTTTCGGTTTGATCATCAATATATCATGTACCCATAATAATCTGTAAAATTTCACTTTGATTTACCCAGAACTTTTTTGTTTCGAACTATCAAAATTTCGGAAAGATTTCATGTTTTTAGCATAAAAAAAGGGATCCTTTGATTTTTTCAAAACTTTGTTCAAAACAAAAAAACTTCCCGGTAGATCAAAGTGATTTTTTACAGAGTTATTGTGGGTATATGGAGCTGTAAAAGTCATGCTCAACATTAGCCACTTTGTCATTATTTGCAATTTAGACCTTGGTTTTCGAGAAATTCATATATTACCCCTTTTTCCTGTTTTTTAGACTAACAATAATTTTTTCTCCATAAATGATTATTGCTCAAAGCCAAAA